CATCCTTCAGGGATTGATCGACGCTAGGAGCTTTATCCTTTATCTTTTACTGTAATTCACTTTAAACTGGCTGAGAAAGAGTTGGTAAACACAGAGAGATTTAATAAGTATATGAGTTACCATTAACAACTATTCTAAAGAATAGCGGTAATACCTATGGTGAAATGAGAATGCGAAAGAAAATATCTGTAGTAATATTCACGACCATGCCAATTGATACTGATGGAATAGTTCATGCCCACTTCTACAGTCTGACCAGTCGAAACGTGGTCCATCTTTTGAACGCCATACTAATTTTGTTGTTATAATAATACGGCACAATTAATATGTTAGCAAGAGTTCGAAAGTTACAAAGAGAAGCCTGTCTCTAAAGCATACGAGCTGGTCCGCCATCGTCGAGTCGCACGAACTGTAAGCTATCGCTGACTTACGTTCAGACGTATAAAGTTTTACAGAAAGACGATAAAAGATCTTAAGAACAGAACAGCAGCAGTAATGGTTGAAGTGGTAGAAATTAGGAAGCGCATTCACAAGGCTCGCCGAAACCTTGCCAATTACCACACTAATACAATCACGCTACAACGTCCAAACGGAACAGTTTCGGCTTCCAGAAGGGTAATACAGAAAACAGTGAGAAAGCGAACAATTCACGGTCCACACAAGATAAGACCTGAACATCCGAAAGACCCCGCACCAGTCCTCATCAACACATTGGTACAGCTCTTCAAGGGTTACCTCTCTGAATGCAAGGTTCCTATTCAGTGGAAGACCAGCAACACCGTGCTCTTGTTCAAGAAAAGTAACTTCCACAATATCGGTAACTATCGCCCAATCTGCTTGCTTTCTGTCGTCTACAAACCCTTAACACAAGTCGTCCTGAACAGAATTGGCAGAACACTCAGGATATTTACGTCAGCACTTATAAGTTTCGTTGTTTCTCGTACGTTTTCGACCTTATGACAGCCAACAGTCGCTTGAATCCCAACAAAAGTGGATGAAAACCAACTAAAAATTTCAAAGCTAATAAGCACAGATCTCCCTAATTGAATATTAGGTTATATCAAAGAAAAACAATGTTCCTCATTCGCTGGTGTGATTGCTCCACCTCAATCTAACTTGCTACCTCAGCAAAAAGAGGCCGTTTTTTATTTTGTTCCATAAAGAAAGGTGGGAAGTATTCATCTCCAACCGAGTCATCCAGAAAAAACTTAATTAGAATAATGTAGCAAATCATTCAATATCGACATAGAAAGTTGTTCCACATCAGTTAAAATACATCTGACACATCTGAAGACCGAAAATCTTCACGCAGGACGTTATGATCAACGAAATAACAAATTATTGCAAAGGCATATTACAAAGGAAAGAACATGGTTTAAGCTGTTGGATGCGCACATATTTCACTAATGAAGTTGTTCTCGGAGTTCTTCTAAGGTTCCAGTCTTTCAGTAATAACTAAGTGAAAAAATTAGCCTATGGAAATTAACCTAAGCATCAACAGTTACCGCTAGCAATGCTGTTATTCGGAAATTGCCAGGTTGTAAAGTTGCTAGTTTCCCTATAGGAGGAAAAACTCGAATGAAATGAACACTGCAAGCGAGCATGTAGGTGGCCTCAAATCCACTTCGATTCAGCGGTGGGCAAATGTGGAATAGGGCCATAACGATTGTATACTTTTGGGCAATTTGCTCTAATCGTGCCTTCTGACAGAAAGAGACTTATTCGAGTTCACAATGCTTTTAGAGAGACCACTGTGATGACAACCTTGTCTAAAATAGATCGCCTTAGGAGTTTCGCAACGAATTCAAACCTGGTTAATTAACATTTAGAGATTAATCTGAGTGGATTGTCAACTATATATAGGTGAACGTGGCGCAGTGGTCGGATGCGCCCTGCAACACACATAGAGGAGCGATCCCCGTCCCAATGGCGCACCATGCCTTTCATCCATCCGGCGTCGGCAAATTAGTACCAAACTCGTATAGAAGGGTAGCAGCATCGGCTCAATACATCTGTAGGCCACCGCGAGTCATTGTAAAGGCCATATATGCATTCAATCACCTCCAACGATGCCTAATGAAGTCGAATGCATGGCGCATCCCTCAGAGATTGGTCGACTCCGGTAGCTTTATCTTTTATTGTTTTTTTATCCGAGCCACTTAAGAAGTTTATTTATCCCAAAATTTTGAGAGATTTCGAAAGAATAGCATCATCCTAAGTGTCCAGCATATAAAAAAGAAATTTGATCAGTAAATCATCATACATCATTATCTAAAATCAGAATGATGGACCAAGGTTAACTCATGAAATGTGTGTCTATAAAAAATACCGGTCCATCTATTTTGTGAAATCAACTACCAAATGCTGACGGAAACCTAGTTGCATACCGGACCACTTCTTCCTGGTTATATTTAAGCCCCTGAAATGTTTCAAAAATGTTACCTGATGCTTGAACGACCCGTCCTCACTAGTTGTGCGGGCCCCAGCATAATCACCATTTTTCGGAGATTTGCTGGTTAAGCCATTGCGGTTCCCTGGAATCCCGAGGACAGCCTGGCCAATGTCTGCCCCAAGTCTTCACCACGACAAGCAGTCGCAGCCCTTGTGGATCAGAGGGAGATTTGCCATCATGCGACTTTGATACTAGGACGGTGGTGGATCCTGGTATTGGTTTACTAGGCTTCGTCTAGGCTTCCTGATGGAAACGCCAGACTCCTTCTCAGCTTGGAAGACCCTGCCGGGGGACGAATACCCACGCTATACATCACAGTCCGACACCAAGGAACAACTTCCAGCCACGTTGAGGCGGTAAAGCGTTCAGAGCGGTTACTTTACTACCGAGGTTAAATGACGGTCAGTTTGAAAACTACAGATCTTTGCCTACAAGGTCAAAATTCTCGTGTCTTTCCACGATGATATTCTAATTTTCTGGAACCTATGGTGTATATTCCTTCCACTTCATTGGTGGGAGGGTCTTCCTTCGAACACGAAAGCGGCGTTCCATCCAACAGGACACAATGGTGTTCCGTTATATCTCGCTGATGTTTTTAGCTGCCGCTATCCTGTTCGATGTTCAAAAAGTCAAATTTCGTCATCAGCTTTTTCAAAGTCTTAAGAAGACATTTATATATGAAAGGACATTGCATAGAGGATTGAAAAAGATAAAGTTCTCTGCGTTGATCAATCCCCGAGGGATGCGCCATGCATTCAACTTCATTAAGTATCGTTGAAGGTGATTGAATGCATATCTGGCTTTTACATGATTCGCGGTGGCCTGTCGCTGTATTGAGGCAGTGCTGCTATTCTCCCAGACAAGTCTGGTACCAATTTGCCGAACCCGAAAGAATGGAAGGCTTGGTGGGCTATGGGCGCGGGGTCCGATTCCGCGTATGTGCTGCAGTGGCGCCGCCAACCACTGCGCCACACACGCCCCTGAATAACAATCAAATTTCTACCAATGTGACAAAGCGAAGTACTCTCTATAAATCTAGTTATGAACGCCTGAAATACTCTGGCGATCGACAAAATATCGTTGGTTCTCGAAAAATCAGCTTCTTCCCGAGAGGGTTAGCTGATTTTCTACAGCGCACGATTGGGTATGATGAAAGATCAGTGGCGCCTCTCATACTCGTTATTTACATAGTTTCTTAATTACTTGGTACTTAATGCCTGAACGGCCCGTCCTCACTGGTTGTGCGGGCCCCAGCATAATCTCCATTTTTCAGAGATTTGCTGGTTAAGCCATTGTGGTTCATGGAATCCCGAGGTCAGTCTGGCCAAAGTCTGCCCTAGCTCTTCGCCACCACAGGCAGTCGCTGCCCTTGTGAATCAGAGGGATATTTGCCACCATGCGATTTTAAAACCAGGACGATGGTGAATCCTGGTATTGGTTTACTCTTAGCTAGGCTTCCTTATGAAAACGCCAGGCTCCTGCTCAGCGTGGGAGATCTCGCCAGGAAGATGAATCAATCCCCTGATGTACATCGCAGCCCGACACCCAGGAACATCTCCACCCACGATAACGCGGTAAACCGTTAGGAGGTATATACTTTTAGTGAGCGAAAAATATGTAAAGAGAAGATCCACATATTTAAACTGTCACAGCTCTGAAATTTAACTTTTCAATAAAGTGAAGAGCACAGAGCTATCGGCGTTACTGGATAAGCAAGAAAACGAAAATAATTGTACAAGCAAAAACCAAAACCAGCGACGCCGACATCAAACGCAGTACAATGCTCAGTTAATTCCCTCTAGGTAGAGAAGACGGTTTATTACCTCATCGTAGCTGGGAGGTGTTCCTGAGTACCGGGCTGCGATCGGGAGATTCATCCTCCTAGCAGGTTCTCCAAGCTGAGAAGGTGCCCGGTGTTTCCATCAGGAAGCCCTGCTAAAAGTTAGCCAATACCAGAATCCACCACCATCCTGGTATCAAACTAGTTTCATGGTGACAAATCTCTCTTTAATCCACGAGAGCGGCGACTGCCTGTGGTAATGATGGCTAGGCAGACTTTGGCTACGCTGACTTCAGGACTCCAGGGAAACACAATAGCTAAACCAGCAAAACTCCGAAAAAAGTACGAATTATCCTGGGGCCCGCACAACCAGTGAAGACAGGCCATCCAAGTATCCAAGTAGATAGAGAATAGGAAGAAGTATATGTATTATCACGAAATCCCCAAGTATTGAGAATGTACGCAGTCTAACCTCTACAGATGGCTGTAGAGAAGACTGCGTGAAACTCGTCCGCAACCGCTCTTTCAGGCAATTCCTTCAGTTAGTTGTACTGTGCTCGTCAATCTATTGTGCTTTTGTCAGTATTGTCTCCTTAGTTCTTCCTTTTCTTGAATTTAATTTGCAGTTAGCATTTAGTTGTACTTGTACGAAGTACAAACTGGAAGGATTACTATGTATAATCTACAATGCAATGAAACATACGCGCTTTTGGATTCATATGGCATTCGTCGCTTTCAAAATCCATTTTTGGCACAGATCTCTTGGCGATGATTCTACGGATACTACTGGTGTTCTTGTTGAGATCGGCTTTTGGAGACCGGGAGCTGTCGCGATGTCCGTACGATTTCGTTTGTCACAATGGACTCTGTGATTCGAATGAAAGATGTCAATGTACACCAGGATGGACTGGTATCCTGTCTTTATCCTCTTTATTTTAAGTGTTCCGCCTTTTTTTAATTTGATCTTTATGTTCTGAGTATGCGCGTGACGCAGTGGTTGGAGGCGTACTGCAACACACACGTGACATCGATCCCCGCGCCTATGGCTCACCAAGCCTTCCATCCATCTGAGGTCGGCAAATTCGTACCAGACTTGTCTGGGAGGATAGCAGCACTGGCATGATACATCGGTAGGCCACCGCCAGTCATTGTAAAGGCCAGATATGCATTCATCCATCTCCAAACGATGCTTAAAATGAAGTAGAATGCGTGGCACATCCCTCAGGGATTGATCAACGCCGAGAGCTTCGTTTTCTATTCTTTATCTTTTATGTTCGGAGTGTATTTTATGTACAGGTATGGCCTTATGTTACTTTTCGAGATAAAACACGTGCTAGTATTGTTTTCAAAACAAGTATTGTTTGAAATGTTGTGAAATCAAGTCAGTTTTCGAAGGAAATGGGCAAAGAAGAACACCATATATTCTCATTCATTCTATTTGTGTCAATGTCTTATATTTCACAGTTCAGTTCCTGTGTTTGTTCTAAACAACCAAAACGCAATATTCATGTTATAAGGTGAGCAGTGTGAGGTGGAATTGTGCCCCTCATATCCCTGTGTGAATGGCTACTGCAACGCAACTGAAGACGGCCGGAAAACTTGTCAGTGTGATCATAGATTTGAGGTTATTAAGCTGAGTTTTATGAACTTGTGACTTTTGTACCGTGATATTACCTTGTTTTCTTTCTTAATGCAGTCCCAACGGTTTACGGCCCCATTGTGATTGAAAGGTGTTACTGGGTGTTGGGCTGTGATGTCCAGTACAGCCGGTACTCATCCTCCCGGTAGGGTCTCCCAAGCTGAGAAGGAGTCTGGCGTTTCTGTGAGGAAGCCCACCTAAGAGTAAACCAACAGCAGAATCTACTACCGTCCTCGTATCAAACTAGTCGCATGGTGGTAAATCTCCCTCTGATCGGCAAGGGCTGCTACTGCATGTGGTATTGATGGCCTGGGGCAGACCTCGACTAGGCTGACCTCGGGAGTCCAGGGAAGCGCAATAACTAAACTAGCAAAACTCCGAAAAAATGGAAATCATGCTGGGACCCGCACAACTAGTGAAGACAGGCCATCCAGGCATCCAAGTAAGAAAGTAAGTAATGCAATTCGATTATCCGTATAGGGTATAGGAGTTAAATCGCTCTTGTAGGTTTTTGTCCCGCTTAGTATTTTTTGCCTCTATGTTTTATGCCTTTTCAAAGGCAGTGGCTTAGTACAAGAATGTATTTCGTTTTGCACTCGTTTATACGTGTAGGGACAATACTGTGAGCTGGACAGAGACGAGTGTACCCTTAGACCGTGTCCAGCAGATGCAGAATGTGTAAATCATGTGGCAAAACATAAAAAAGACAAGTACGTTCAATGAATTTTTTCGAGTACTTCAAAATGAAAAAGATCTTTTTTTGTTCACATGTTCGATTCGATTCTATTTATTCGACCAAAAGTAACAAGTCTATAGCAAGCCATATCTCGAAATTGTATTTCAAAGGCGAACGAAGAAACGTATGATTAGGGTTAAATTAACTAAACACATGGAAACCTCAACCCATCAGAAACACTTTCATTTTCCTGCAATTTTTTTGAATTTCAGGGGTTATTCTTGTCTATGTCCGATTGGTTACACTGGCGAATTTTGTGAAGTAGAGGTTGACTTATGTGAGATCTATGAGAAAAAGGCACGTTGTTCATCTCGTGACTGTTTGCCTCATTTTTTCCTTCTTTTACTTCCAGAGGTGTTCACTTTTAGGGTGAGAATTACTGTTACAACGGAGGAATCTGTGATGCTCGTTATGTTTGTATTTGCGAGGATGGTTAGTTCACGTAGTTTTCCTCCTTCTGTTATTATTCTGTCCAGTATGCTTTTTTGTCTTAATAATTTACATGTTTGTCTTAATTCAGGATTTGGCGGTACCCGTTGCTCCCACCGCGTGCCATATTTTAGGGAGTACAAAAGATTTGGCAAGTTATGCTCTACTTGACATTTTTTATTTTTTTTTGAAACGAACGACTTCTTTGTGGTTAGAGGTCTCAGCGTTAAGATGGCTTACTTATTTTGTAGAAATTTCCCGCGTTTCACAGGTTGTCCTGAACGACCGGAAGTATGCGCTAAAGTTTTTGACAATGGCCAATGCGACGAGGTTTGCAATCGTGAATCTTGCCTTTTCGACGGTTTTGACTGTGTGAAACATGATGATTTTGTGTGTCGGTTAGTTAAGCATGTTGTTATTGCAGTCTGTTTCTTTAAACCTAGCAGCCGACTCTTAAATTTGCGTTTTTGCCTAGTTAGGCCACGCCTACTGTTCTGTCAGTTACGACCGTGCTCATTCTGGACAACAAAAAACGATTTCCCAATATATTTATTTCTTATGAACTGATCTTGTTGAACTGATGCGAGGTTGGTATAGTTGTTGCTGTTGTTGTTGTTGGTCGATGGCTAATGTTTCGACGATTTCGCCTTCCTCAGAGACGTGCAGTTACGAGTAGTACACCCAACAGCAAAACAAAAGCAACATCGACATCAACAGCAACAACGACACCTATACCAACTCCGCATCAACTCAGCGAGATCGGTTCATAAGAACGTAGAAAGATAAATATGTTGATTATTTATCCCGAAGTTTATAGAAAGCTGGTCTTTTGAATTTTCCAATGACTAGAGGACTTAAGGAGTTGAAAACATAGCAGCATTATCGGGAAGTCTTTGTTCTATCGCTTTAGCGGTATCCGTTGTTCCTATGGTGGTGTTCACCTATGTGTTCTTATATTATGGTCCACCTTAGAATCATGTTGCTTTATCTGAAATAGTCCTGAAGATCTTCTTAAGTTGATTTCTGTATCTTTTATACTCACCCGTCCCCTACGACAACCATGGTTCATCGTAGAGATTGGAGATGAATTAACAGTTGGTTACCAGTTAAATTATCTGTGCATTCAAGTTGGATTTTGTACGTCTGTTGCAACTTTAATTACTTTTCTTGAATCGAAAGGCAAGTTTTTCTTCATTAGTTTGTTTGCGTCATTTACTATTTGTGAAATTCATTTAGCATCGCTTGGTCTTGATCACAAGGTGTAAGTGTGGTTTTAGAAATCCCTCTGACTGCGCTTACAAGTATGGAGATGGACACTGTGACGATGATTGTGCCGGAGCCGAATGTGGATTCGATGGCGGTGATTGCAATGTGAGTCAGATTTAAATAAAGCTATTCATGTGAATTTTTTATTTGCTGGCTATTACAGTTTTTCACGGTGTGGTATGTGTGATACAACCCAACCACAGTGATGCTGAAATATTTACAAAACTCCGGACCACAGGTGTCTGCCGTAGGTAACGAACGCCCTACTACCTTTTCCTGGGGCTAACGCGTGCACCACCACACCATGCGGGTCCTTCGTTTCGCCTCTCTCACAACTAGTTCTATCGATCAGCGCCATCAGCAATCACTCGTCAACGGGATTGATCTGGGGAGCCCAAATCGGCACTGAACCCAGTTAAGCTGAGGCTATAGTTAGAATCACAATCTTAACCTTTTTATTAACTGGCTATTCTTTTTAACAGCAGGGTATGTTGCGAAAGATAACTTCCATAGTGCTGAGATATTTGCAAAACTCTGGACCGCAGGTGCTTGCAGTGGGGAACGAACGCGCTATTGACCTTTCCGGAGAGTAACGCGTTCACCACCACACTATGCGGGTCCTTCGGTTCGCCTTTCTCTCAACTAGTTTTCTGTCTATCAGTGCCATCAACAATAACCCGTGAACGGGATTCAAATTTAAAACTCTTAAATTCTGCTAATTTGGTTGTATTTTATGGTCATTAGAAATGTTCTGTATTTAATATTTTCTATATTTTTTTTATTTTTTTGCGCGTACCTATGCTCTATGCGCTGAAGATTTATTGTTAGAGTCAGAACTCTACATCATAAGTATGAAGAGGAAATGTCTGTGATTAGTTTTTAGGGATCTAAGAATACGTTTCGTGGCCGCAATGTTAATATTATTGGTGTGGCGCTGGGATTACCACCTGATGTTGCCGTCAAGAATTTGCGACAGCTTCAAGCGGAACTTGCTCAGGTTCTTATAAATGGTTTTTTTCTGTGGGCATATTTGCCATTCTTCTTCCAGTGGTGCTACTCTATTATACCAGCTTGTGTATTAAAATCGTTTTGCCAGCGCCTCTATACACATGTGAGTCTTGCGCAAGATGTCGATGGTGTCATGGTATATGAATGGAGTTCTGATCATGGTCAGGGAAATCGTGTTGTGCTTAATGAAGAACTTGCAAGGTCAGTCCAAGTCTTGACTGCTTTGTTTTATATTTCCACAATTTCTATAGATTCTGATCCGTCTATGGTTTTTGTTGTAGTAGACCATGAAATTTTTTTCTAAAAATATGCGAACTGTAACACAAAACCAGCTGAAAGACAGGCGAAACGAAGGCGTCGCATGGTGTGGTGGTGAATTCGTTAGCCCCCGGAAAGGGTAATGGCGATTTCGTTCCCTACCACACCGCCGACGCCTACGGTCTGGAGTTTTGCAAATAGGAAAAATTATAATAGGCAAGATATAAAAAATTAACTTATCCGAGCTGTTGTATAATGGAGTTTCCTAAGAGATTTCTAAAGTGTGTTTTAAGTTTAATTATATTTTATTTTATTTTTGTTTATATGACCCGTCTTCACGTCTTCTCTGCGGATCCCAGCACGTCTCACATTCCATTCGTTTCCTCGTGTCCATTATCCACGATGATCTCCCAACTTTTTTTAACGTGTGGCTTCGGATTCTGCTTGAGGATTTTCATTTCATCTTGAATGCCGTGGAATGCTGGTCAAGCAATTCTCCCTGGAGATATTCGAGCTGAAGCGTTCTCAATTGGATTGCAGAGAGTGCTTTTTCCCAGACAAGTCCGGTAGCAACTTCCCGGAATCGAACTAGAAATATAGGTGTTATCTTATCCTAATTGTTTTATATTTTATCATATCCATCTTGTAGAATTGGCATTTTTATTTCTGCATTTCATTCTGTCTTGAAATCTGTGGTAACTTCTACTTACAATATCTTTCAGTGCTATACAAACTACTGCTACTGGCACTATAATTTTTTTCGATGTTGATACTTCGGCCTGTCGACTTAAAATTCGAAGAAACAACTCGCAGCCACATTGCTTCACCGACCTTCGTGCTGCTGCCACCTACCTTGCTTTGGAATTAACACGGTTTCGTCCAATTAGTGGAAAGACTTTACCTATTCGCGATGTTACTTGGAAGCAAAAACAGGTGATCCTCACCTCCTTGTTAACCGCAGTCGTTTTTATTCTTATGGGAGCTATTATAACTTCTAATGCTAGAAAAGAGCACAACAATATTTCAAAATCGACTTTCATTTAACCTCGGCATGACTAATCAGTATGTAATCTTTCTTTGATGAGCATACACGAGGTTGATATTTATTCTTTATCTGGCTAACGTTTCGACGTCTTCGTCTTCATCACAACCGATAATCTGAATCGATAGTCCACAGTTGTTCGTATTCTCGATGTGGCGCTTTCACCTTAGTATCGAGCGAAGTATGGCTCATTCAAGAGATGCTCAACTGAGGAAGTCCGGCTCAATACGATGACGAAGACGCCACAGAGAGAAGAGCAGGTGTGGGCCATCGAATTGAATCATCGGCTTTGATGAAGGCGAAGACGTCGAAACGTTAGCCAAATAAAATTTATTTATCAACTTCATGTAAGCTTATCAAGCAAAGAATACTTCTAGTGCTGTTTGATGAAGTGTCAATATTTCAGCTTTACGGTTTACAATCGTGGAACTTTCCAGTGGTCCTGACATTAGTTTTCTTAATCGTATCGGTGCTTATTGTCGCTTCATGCACTGGTATCATTATAGCAATTGTAAAGAGTAGAAAAAGAAGACAAAAGACAATTTTCGCGCCGTGTTGGAAAATTCCAGGTACGTTTTGTAAAATTTTTGGATTGCATATTTGTAAAGTGTGCAGTGTTTTTTGGAAGATACATAATGTATTACCTGGTAATGAAACACCTAAAATAGACAGTTTCCTTTACAGTGTCGTACAATCATGTTTTCGCTCTACTGTGTTCATAGATTGTAGGTTATCCTGGTTGCTCCTATCAACCGCCCACACCACCGTACTCTGCATCGCCAGAGAACGGCAATAACGAAGAATATTCCCACTCCAAGGTACTATTAACTGTGTAGCTCATATTGTACTTGTTATTTCCTTACCGAGTACTTATTCGAACCACTAGTTCCAGGATGCCGAAAATTCGTTGGCACCGATCATCGACGGTGAGAAAATCGTAGTTTTTACAGTCATTTATACACAATATTTTTTTCTAGTATTTGGAGTAATTTGTCCCATAAATGTGAGAGAGTTTTGAGACGTGAGAGATCTGCGTACCCTTATGAACCAGCTGTAGTCATCCTGCGATTAGGCGAATATTTTCTTTGGGTTGACATTTAAAAGCTGCAAGAGCTGGTATCACTAGTATTTGTTAGCATATAACACAAGCACACCACCAAAGAAAATTTTCAGCGTTGCAGTATTTACATAGAGTGGATCAATTATACTATTCATTTTGTGGTTGTCTAAAGGTGATATATAATACTGGGTTTCTTCCCAATATGATCTTCTAATTTAAGGAGTTCGACATCTCCATCCAGAAGCCTAGATGATAGTAAACCAATGCTAGGAACTATCGCCATCCTAGTTAACGTTGGTATTCGGATGGTGTCAATCCTTGTTTGATTCACAACGACCCAGCGGCTTTCGTTAGTAACGGTGACGATCTTGTAGAGCGCCAACCCAGTTGTTTTGAGGCACCAGAGAAAATCAGATAGTTCAACCACCGATGAAGCAGCCTCACTGCTCTCCGTAGTAAGGGATTTTGCCTATGACACCGAGCGATAAGCAACGAATGAAAAGCAATCAAATCCCAGGTTGCATAGAAGGTAATTAAAACTTCCCACAAAACTTTTCTTGAAGCAGTAAACGCTTGTTGCTCCATGAGATGGATGCCCTACACAAGAGAAAAGGGACGAAGACTGACTCGCACCAATTACTATTAGGTAACACGACCTGATTCATTTGTGAAGAGAAAATTCCGTCGTACAATGTCGATTGCTTCTTGGGACATCGATCTGTTACCCATCACACTTCCTCATACGATTCTCCTATCCTCATGGCCATTGTCCTTTTTTCAGTTAGCGTGGGAAAGGATTTGAAAAGCAATGTACAACGAAAAGTTTGTTTTTTGTTGGAGACTTCAATTCCAGATTTCGTAAAAGCGGCTAAGATTAAATGAGAAAATTTGGAGGAAGAGTTCAAACAGGTGTGGAAACGACTTTGCTTAGCTCCTGTCCATAGCACGCCTCTTCTATAGAAATTCGTTTATTCAGAGGAATGAAAAAACGGTATTACTCATGCGGAAATTTGTCACATTTTCGCAAACAGTACATGTGTTGCTTTAACACTGGTTACACCGTTATTCTCTACTGGATCTGATAACGTCTTTCTCAAAGTGAAAACTCCATTCAACCGCCAACTGGAAATGATTTCTTTCCATCATCTATTGAGAGATGTGCAAGTCATTCATGATGGAAGCATTCTGGGCGAAACCCTTTCCGAAAATCACTGGGAGATTAAAGAAGATCTAACGAATTTCTGTACCAAGCTGCTCGCCGATTGACTTAAAAGCTATGCTGGAAACACGTCAATTCGCGAAACAATAACTTCGGATCACACTATTATCACAACCAAAGACTTGAGCACAAGACTAAACGAGACCTTCATCCACCTGCAAAATTACTTAACAGGGCTAAGAAGAAGTGTCAGATGCAGTTTTTTGCCGAACCCAAACTGTTTTAATGTCAATGATGAACAGAACTAGGATTACTACCACTTAACATAAAATGGATTTCATAATGGGAGGGTTCTTCTCAAATCTTTTCGATTCTACTGGCTCCGTTACGGACTCTAATATTGCTGTTGTCACCTGTCACCTGTAGTCCCGTTGATCGTCGAGTGACTCGAGCGGGCGCCAGTAAATCTTCTATTTTTTCCTGTCGCGTGCGAGAGTAGCCCAGTGCGTTCCCCTCGCTCCAACGGCCCGCTGAGTATCATACCTTTCTTCTAGGATTTTCGTGAATAACTCTGATTATCAGATCGGTGGTCTTTCTGCCGTACGTTTGACATGACGGGGAATTCAGTTACTAACGGCTGTTGTCCATCGGTTGTCATTCATATGCATTACGTGTCCGGCCCACCCTACCTTCGACTGTTTGGTGTACAGAACGGCATCTTTGATTTTTGATCGTTGACGCAGATCGGAGCTTCAGATCCCATCTTTTACTCGTGTGGAACGGTATACTCCTAGTATCGTCCTTTAGACTGCGCGTCCGATAACGCCGAGTGACCTTTCATCCTGCTTACGCAGCGACCAGGTTTCTGACGTATACGCTAGGACAGGAAGTACCGTTGAGTCGAAGAGGTGGTCACGGAGTCGGGTGTTCTTTGTTCTCTTCACTACGTCCTCGATCCTCTTGAAAGCTCCCTACGCCGCTCGTTTTCTTCTGCTCAGCTCTGGAGCTAGGTCGTTCATCATATTGATTTCCTGACCTACATAGGTATAACTGAAGCATTCAGAGATATACGTTCCGTTGGCGTAATATTACTGTTGTAGTAACACCAAAACGAATTTTTCCCAGTACCAGGTAACACAATAGTTGGATAGAAGTCCCATGCTACCTACGCATCTTGCAAGAGGACTTCATGCATTTTCATCTTGACGAAGTAGTCCGACGAAGGAATCTTCTCAACTGCCTACAGTTTGGTTGCTGAATGTACTCTCTATACTTCTCACAAAGTTCTTATGATGCATGACAAGAGTTTAGATCACACCTAAGGAGTGAGCACACAGGTTCTCGGCAAGGATTTTCCTGCATGGATCATCCGTATCTAGAATCATGGAAGTGTTTCGTGAACATCTATTTGTACATTATCCCAATCTTTGTCTACTGCAAGAAAAGAGCTTCCGAAAAGAAGAAAGGGGAATGCAATTCTATTAGCACTTATTGCTGTCTGTACTACAAAAGAACCATGGCTACCTGTCGCTGTAACTGTAGCAAAAAATGACGCGTCTGTATCAACTCCTTACTAAGCCTATAGGGAAATGGTTACGACGACACGACTGTATCTCACTAAAACTGTTTACAGTCACACTGCAGTATGTGTCGAAGTTACTCGATTGGCATGAGAAGGCAAATGCAGTTATCACAAATTCGTCTAAAATCATTGTTTTGCTGACGATATCATCATTTTTTCAAGGTGTAGTGGTGAAGCAGGAAGGATGTTCTATGGGTCAAATGAAGTGAAAAAGGATAAGACTACACTTAAATCGGAAGGAATCACAGTTCGCGGAATTTCCATGGTGCGAACTTGAAGAAGTCGAAGTTTTTGGCTCTCCGGCTCCACCTCGAACGTCTACCTGGTGTTCAGTGGATATGAAGAACAACATGGGGAACAATTACATAAAAAAGGAAATTTTGGATTGTAATCAGATCACACAGTGTTTACCTGGAATGTACAGCACAGACCGTGGAGTCACTTGCTGCCTTCGAGATCCAGGAGAACGTGCCTCGATATCGAAAAGTGGAGAGGTTGGTCATACAATAAGAATAGCAGAAGATAGATGGACAAAAAGAACTGTAGAATGGAGTTCAAGAGCATGCAAGTGTCCTCTTCGACAAACCCCTATAAAATGGTCGAATCTGTTTGTTGCTGTCATCACCCAGCTAAATTCGCAGTTGGAAACGATTTACGGATCATGAAATAGGCCTTACGGGCGTTTACTCGGTTGTACTTGAAGTAGACTCCCACCAAAGGTAACGATCGTCCGAGAAGGAAGAAGTGCTAGGGTCCTCAGATCTCTCCAAAGTAGGACGTCCATGTATCCAAGCTGTTTGTATCAAGGCCAGGGTGTTACGAAGGAATGCGATAGCTTGCTTGCACACATTTATTTCTCCTTTCTAGCCAAGCACTCCGATTCCTCCCGTTCAATATTGACAAGTTTTAGTATACATCTCAGTGAAAAGTGAAAAAATGATTATCTAACTTACGAGAGAGACTTTCTTGTGGCCCGTCTTAAAAATATTGACAGATATTGTAATGCTTTGATCTTATTTCCTCGATATGTTAAACATTTTTTTAGCTGAGTCACCTCTTTTATCAGCAGTTCGCCGTGGTGACCTCAAGGCTGTTAAAGAGATGATTTCGAGTAAAGAGGCTTTCATGGATACGGTAAGTTTTCTCTCAAAACTAATGAAGAACTAGTGTGGTGGAGGATTGACTTAATACTTTTAAGAATGCGTCAGTATAATTATTCTCATCGTTTTTGCACATTCGTTGCTTCGATATCGTCTTTAGTCGTTGAAAAACTTTATTTGGTCTTTGTATGGCTTTCGCTCTGAATCTTTATATTTCTGGAACCTGTGATCCACAGTAAACATATTATTCTTCATGTCGATGATAACGGACTTGGTCCACTCCATCACGCAATAGCAAACAATGATGTGGAGATGCTTAAGTTGCTTATTAGCTGCGGGGAGTTGGACGTAAGTTCCTAAATCTTCTATGGCCACTGTGTTCGTTTTTAATTGGTTATTTTTTGAGGAAATATTATATGGTTATATAAATAGAAGTTACTTGAATAAGTGGATGAATTCTTCCCTTCCTTGCTATACCGATTTTCATTTGTATTTCTGGCTTAAGTTGTTTGAAAGGAATGCGGCTGGTCAGTCTCCCCTCCTGTTTGCTGCACGTATGGCACATCCTGGACTGGAATGCATTTCGATTCTCGTGTCTTCCATCATTGCAATTCGTAGGCATCGCCATGATGACGTTTTGTCTGGTCATTTCAGCGATATTGGAAATAGCAGGTTTGTAAAGTTTTCGTTTAAAAGTGTGATTTGCATGTTTATAGCAACTTCATGCATATTTTCAAATGCCTTGAAGTAAACTTTCTATATTCTGGACTTTCTTCTGTGGAAGATTTGTCCGATAAAGGAAACAGATAACAATTTATCTTGAGAGTGCATCACTGTTATTTTTCTCTTATTTTGTAAAGGAGATCAAGCATGTAGTTATTCTTTCATTATAAGTATTCCTCCGTGTATGGTTCACGTATAAGCTCTCCGACAGTTTACTACCTCATCGTCGCTGGGAGGTGTTCCTGGGTGTCGGGCTGCGATATACAGCGAAGGAATTCATCCACCCAGCAGGGTCTCCCAGACAGGAATCCGGCGTTTCCATCAGGAGGGCCAGGTAAGAGTGAACTAATACCCGCATCCACCACTATTCTGCCATCTAGTCGCATGGTGGCAAATCTCCCTCTGATTCACAACGACTGCGAGTGCGCCTGTTATGGTGACGACCTGGAGCGGACTTTGGCCATGGTGACCTCGGGACTCCAGAGAAACACCATTGCTAAACTAGTAAAACTCCAAAAATGGAGATTATGCTGAGGCCCGCACAGCAGTGAGGACAGGCCGTTCAAGTTTCAATTAAGTATTCCTCTGTATGATTGTTTACATATACAAAATTCGCATTTATTCCAAGAATCGAAGCATTCTGAATCTGTTAAAACAGGTTTATAATTTGTATTGCATGTGTTCTGTCTCTCTATCATCAACAGGTTCCTAATTTTTTCTTCATATACGAATACGAAACTCAAACTTCGTATCGTATCTTCAGTTTTTTAGGGCAGAGTTGATTAAATCACTCCCATTGCATGATGAAGGTGATGTTAAGTACGCTCTGACGGATTCAATGGTAAGTGTTTAGGTTTACAGCCATCTTTAGAGCATAAGCGACTACTTGCATTTACATCAGTTCTTAAGAGGCAGGCAGAGCAATATTTAATGAATCATGCTTCTGGCTATTTGTTTGTCTCCACAGACCTTTTTTTTGCTAAACATCGTGTGCGAAATCGGTACCTTACACAAAAGAACATGTTGTGCCATGCGCAATAGCTAGAAATCTACAGGAAACCGTTTTCGAATGAGTTTGTCCATCTGGTTTAAATGCCGCTGCGAATACTAGAATGTTTTTTCAGACTACTTGTCATCACACCTACTGTGAGTGTCCCAGCAGTGTTCGCGTTTGATTAGTTTTTCCTCGCATTCATCGTCTACAGTGGCCTTCGAATGTTTAGTGTGTTGTTTCGGCTGCTACTTGAGTTCTTCTTTTTTATGAATGTGGTAGAATGTTTGTCGAGTGGACTCTCCTTGAAGTTTTGGAGATAGTGTTGGATAGGGAATCGAAATAGCGCCTTTGCTTTCTGATCGACGACATCGCTAAGCACTGCGCTACCCCCACCCATTTTTTTGCTTTTACTCTTGAACTATATATCCTGTTATTGTTTCGGACCGAAGAGAATAGAATCAAAAAGTGGAACAAGTACTCCAATAATTCCTCGGCTTTGGCGGCCTTAAAATTTTTGTCTTAAGGTGCAAACCTATAACCTTTTCCACTTCTCTAACATTTGTAGGCTTTCGTAACTTCACCTTCTCTTGCCTATGTCCGTTCGTCAAGTTCAAAGTAGCTGTTGCGAATATTCAATAAAAATGTATTGGTTTTTTGGATCCAGGAACGAGTAGTTAGTGAAAGACCATTATCGAAAATCTAGTGATCATGAGAGACTATATTGTCTGATCACTCACCGGCTGTACTATCACCGCTGAATCCCCCATCATCATCGCTTTCGTCACCATTCTCCGGTTTACCGTCTTCAAGCTCTTCGGTGAGTGCCACAAGAGATTCTCTATGTTTTTCAATCTCTTATTCACTATCATTGAGTCGCCATTCGAATCTGTTATCTTATTAATAGAAAAATGGAAGAGACATTGAAAGAACACAAAAATATGCTTCGGAAATCTTAAAAAATTTGCTAAACGCAGTATACTTCAATGATGGACAAGTTTGTTATGTTCAAATAGAGGGGTTGTGTATGTTCAAAAAACATCGAGAGGTTCATAGGGGAACATAAAAGATGCGTAAATGTGGAAAGCAACATAAATGAGCGAAAAAATTTGATCATAAGGCAAAGAAATACTGAAAGAGGCATGGTCATCCCAGCTAAAGAACAAACCTAATGCATTGAGTTAAATGCGCAGAGGAGAGCTGAGCGTATATCCTGGCGGCCTCCACATTAGTCCTCTTCTCGTACATGTTAACTACCCATAATTGCACGTTTTACGCCTCTAATTTTTAGTTGTTCATCAATATGCATAATTTTACAAATTGTCTATGGTCGCAGTACAAATTTAACTAGTCGAACTATCTTAACCATTTTATTTACTGCCTATTCTTCTTAACGGCACGGTATTTTGCGAAATTTAACTATTATAATGCAGAGATATTTGCAAAACTCCAGACTGCAGGTGCTTGCGGTGGGGAACGAACGCGCTATTTTCCTTTCCGGGGAGTAACGCGTTCACCACCACGCCATGTGGGTTCTTCGTTTCGCCTGTCTTTCAACTAGTTCTATCGTGTAAATTGACGGGCGATTTCTGATGGCAAAAGATCGATAGAACTACCTGAGAGACAGGCGAAACGAAGGACCCGCATGGTGTGGTGGTGAAGTGCGCTACTCCCCGGTAAGGACAATAGAGCGTTCGTTCCCCACCGCAAGCACCTGCGGTCCGGAGTTTTGCAAATATCTCAGCATTGTAATAGTCGAACTATTTTTAGGGTCGTAATGTAATACACTACGCCGCGCTGTATAATGCTCCTCATCTCGTTCACTACTTCGCTTATTGTGGTGCTAATGTGAACTTGGCTGACAATAATGTGAGTTATTCAAAAGTAGCTCAAAAAGCGGAATTATTTGATAATAGGGACAGAATCCAGACAGTGAGTGATGACGACTTTTCTGTCTATAGTTTTTGGACAACTGAAGTCCTTGGTGAGTTGAGAACTTTATAAGCTTCTAAAAGATAGTTGCTTATTTATCTAATTGTATTTGTAGTTTCATGAAGTTGTTTGCATTTTAAAGCTCTTTTAAGCCAGCATTTTCGAGAAATTGGGGACGAAATTTAGATTTTAAAAACGAGGCTTTAACGCAAACGTGGCGGCCACAGTCCTCAATGACGCTTGCAAGAACATCATATATCCGTTATGTGTCAAATGTTATTGGAAAATACTTCCCTATTTTAGAGTTCTTACAGTTTTTCTCTTAGCTTCAACTTTTGCATGAAATGAATATGAGTGGAAGCGAAGGGAAGAGAAGAGAAAAGAAAGGAGAAAGCATGGAGTATTATTTCAAATTCGATATGGGTACAAACATTCGCTAACAGTTTCTCAAGCCACTCGGAGGCCGTATAAACTGATTTTGCCAGAAACTCTTGTGGGATAGAAGACATAACCTGTCATATTCGCCCTTCAAGTTCTTACAAAGTCGTTGTTTCCGTGGAGTAGGCTTTCCTCTCTAACCGATTTCAAAAAAAAAGTCGTAAGATGTTTATTCGGAGCCTTCTGAGTGCCCCCACTCATTTGCTCCACAACGACCCCTTCATCTCCCGGGAAAGTGGCAATTCGATCATTCGCCAAGAAGAATAATAACGAACAGCATAATATCAATGAAAGGAGAGCCCACCTTTTTCTGCATGTCGAGCTTCCTTTTTTGTGCCGTGAGTACGCGCCTTTCAAACAACCTGCACTAACTCTGAGTCACTGGAATTGAAAGGGCGACGGCTTCGAGTACCAATTACAGATGCTGTAGCCATAAGTGTTGCATGACAATTTTTAATCACGTTTGTGTCATTTTAAGCATTTATTCCTTTAACGGCCTTCCACCCTCTTTGCACTTGAAGAACAGATCTCCAAACTTCGTAATGTGCCGCTGGCTTGGTTAAACGTAAAAAGTTTTAGGAAAATATTACAATATATGAGTAATTTATAGATGTTTTAAAATAGGGAAGTAGTATTCAATTACGCTGTAGTTTGAAGTTTTCTTCAACCCTTTTCCTGAAGTTATGGTTTTCTCGTGGATTATCAAAATACCTTGTTGTCAAATAATGGCATCAGGTTTTACGCACTCCTTAGAAGTCCTCTAATAGACAGCGGTTCAAATCAGGAATTAGGATTTGTAATTATATCTCAACAGTCTTTTCAAGGTTTTACAGGTTGTTAATCGTTAGTAATTATCAAAACCGACTTTCTATTAACCTCGGTATTGAGACACAATTCTCTATTTTCTTGATAAGCGCATACGAGGTAGTTATTACATTCTGTTTATTCAAAACAGCTAACGTTTTTGGAAATTTCGCCTTCAGAGCCTGGAAAGGCCAAAAAAGGGGAAAGAAAATGCGATATAGTCAGCCAAATGCCTCCACATTTTCGTTAGAAAAGACACGAAAACTAAGTTTCAATCTTGTTGGGAACAAAACATCTTCACACACTCACCGTTATCTGCGTTTTCTGCTGTCTTCTATGTGAAGACTACTGGGCAGAGCTCACGTGGATGCGTAATGTGCCGCTTTCACCTTAAAATATCAGCATGAAATATTGTATGAGATAATGTGTGTTAACGAGACATTCCTCCCTGCCGTGTTCATAAGGCACCCATCAAGCATTATGGACGAATTCTAAGAATGCGAAAGTGAACCTCAGGGAGGAATACCTCATTATCACGCGAGATCTTACACAATATTTCAGGGTGATATTTTCACATAAGAGTGGCTTACCCATCCATGTGAGCTCTGCGCGTTTAATCTCCACGTGGAATACTCATTAGAAGACACACAGAAAACGCTGTATGTGGGGAGAAGCTGTTTTATTCCTTGTGCCACTAAAAATTAAATATCGTGTTTTCTATTGGGGCTATGGAGGCTAGATTGCGGTTAACTTGGCATTTCCAGGCTCTGAAGAAGGCGAAATCCGTCGAAACATTAGTTGTTGTGAATGATTACTATACGGTAACAACTTCGCGTGTGCTTATCGGGAAAGAAAGGTTATCAATTTCTGTTTAGGGAGACGCTCCAATACATTTAGCGGCACGAGGGGGAAATGTTGAAGCAGTGGTGGCTTTAATTCATAATAATTGCGATTTGACTGCCAAAGATGCATTCGGTACGCTTATTTTTTCTTAGAGGTTTTAATTAGCAGATGTATGGTAATCATAAAGGATCTGCTGAACGTCAGATCTCATTTGTTTTACAGAGCGCACTGCGTTCACCATAGCTGCTGTCCAGGGTCACTTTGTGGTTTGTGAGGCCTTTAACAAAACCGCCAGTACCTTTTTCACTTGATTTTAATATATTGCACATGTGATACACATAGAAAGGCGGTGTCTACAATGGACCTTACGTGTACCGTAACCAGTGCACCTTTCTCATTATTGTCAGTGACGAGATGGGTTGTGCTCAAGAAAATTCTCTGTGAAACCCTCATTATCCTGGTTAATGCGCCTATTGTTAAGGGTATTAGTTTACTTAGATCAAGCATTAATTTCGCATGGATCCGGAATTATATTGATCTCAGCTGAGTATGTTGCTATCATTTAACAGTATTTTTTAATTGTCCTTATAAAGTGTATTCATACGTTTCTCTTGAAGTGATGTATTGCGATAGGCTAAATTTATTGGCCCTTCCATTGCTACTTCATGTGAAATATCGATGAAGCTTCGTGCCGTGTACTGATTACTACTGTATCTGTGAAGAGATAGAGTTCCCACGAGTTTCTATTACATTTGCCATCCGCTTTCTTCTTTACATTCTCTGACGTCTCACTATTTTTTCGTGCATAGAGTTGACGTTTTTATGGTTTTGGTTATTCGTAGACATTGTTAAGTTTTCAGCCACTTCGTTCTATTTTCTCTCTTGTTCAATGCTTTGATTTCGAATATGGAATTAATGGAATCTATGTGCTATGGGTGACCAAAACATTTCAAGTTTACCGAGGCATATCTGGCAACGTGCAGAAAACGCGGTACTCTTTTCATTTTAAGTCTTTTACTGATTTTAAGGAATGTTTTCCACCTCTCCTTGTCAAGAATACGACGGATTTTGTCGTCTATATCAAAATGGTGAGCTTTATTATCTGTCTGAGTGACGACGGCGGTTACACCAGAGCTGTAAACGACGTAGTTTCTTGGATTTTGCAGAGCCCTCCAGTATGAATACGGCCAGGTGGCCAAGCGTCTTCACGAGTGGTTCTGTCGAGAAGTCCACTTCCATCAGACGAACAGAATTCACTGATCGCATTCTACATGGATGATTACAGAGAATTTTGGAAACCGGAATAGGTGGTTTTTTCACTATATTCACTAAATCATCCTGTCATGTCATGTTGCTCTTCAAGAGTTGTTTTTTAACGTTTTTTCTTCTCATGCGTTAAAACGAACACTAGGTGGGGTGTTACGTTCGCTTTCCAAAGTTATGGCTATAGAAGAGAAGATAGGCTATGTGGAAAAAGCTTCACTTTTCTGTGGTGGTAGATATGTATGGTTGGAAGCTTGGACTAATGAGCAGGATATAGTCTGGAAGCAGCCGGCAAGCAGGCAGAATATTAAACATAGTGTAACCCGTAAGGGGGAGCTTGCGCTCGGCTGGCTCCTTGTCATATGTTGATGCCACGGATATGTTTCCCCGTTGTAATGTCATTTCACTGTTCTGGTTTGCTATAGCACCTCAATAATGAAATTCGATTTCCGTTACTTGTGTGGTACCGGATAGCTTTTTGTTTACATATAGAGCGCAACATTTACCCACTGAGCGGAAACTATTAAATACTTGCTAATTTAAGAAATGAATTCAATTTGCATTGAAATACAATATCACCGGTCTCTTAGGTTTTGTTTTCAAACGCTGTGAAACTGCCAGGTTCTACTGTAAAAGAGGGATGTAACTATAATATTTTCTTCTGTTTGCTCGAACATATTTCGCTTAAATATTCTTCGTACTTAAGAAGAGTTCATGAAAGCACCATGCTGTCGACACTGATAATTCAAATCCTGTTGTTCTTGAACCACTTCTTTAAAACGGGAGCGATTTTCTGGAGTCATATTGCAAGCTAGGACCTTATCCTTCACCGCCAGGTCCACGAACTGGCTACCTCCAAAAGGAAGGAAAGCTTTGACCCAGGAGGAGAACCAGTGAGGTTTGCGTGCGTGATTACCATTGACAGTTCTAAGCATAGTTGTAAATTGTTTATTGGCACAGTTATTGTTTAACATGTAAAAGAGCTGCAGGTACATTTTAAATATTTCTATCCATTCACAAAGTTGAAGCTTTGTGATGTGTGTATTGAAATGCAAGCCACTTGTTTTGGATGGAATTTTCGTCAAGTGCTTTAAGTTGTTCCAGTTACTATTCCTTCTCAAAGCACTAAAGCTTGGTCTTTATCTATTAGTTAGCATTTAACGAAACAGAGCTGGAAATTGTGGATGTTTATTAACATCATGATTGGGTGTTCGCTCAGAACGATCACGTGGTTTTAATACAACGCTGCTCTCATGTTCCGCATCAGCTTAAAGCAGCAATGCAACTCCATTCCTTCGGCATTAAATGCTTCTTTGTCTTTGTTGAGGTTTTTCCATCATGGTTTTCCGTCTCAGGATTCCTAACGAAATCGTTTTTTATTCAAACTACGCCAGAACTATTTTCTGACGTCCGTATGACCCTTCCTCATTTACAGGTCAGGTTGATATCGAACGATTAACGCCACGTGATTAAGCAACAGAGGCCGTAGTGGGTGCTGGTATTGATTTGTTGAATCAACGAGGTTTGTTAGCATAGCGTCGTTGTCGTCAAACCCAGACCTTACAACGTTTCGGGTTGTCCCCTTATTAAAGAAGATATTGAATTCTAAACCACTTCTTTTATGACTTTCAGATGTGATTTTTTTTTCTGAGCTTCATCCCAGTATTATTTCCTCGTCGTTGAACAGCGTTTTATTGCCTTTACTACTAGGGGTTTTTCCATATGGTAAAATTACTAATTCAGCAGAAATTCGACCTCGTTACACAACTTTAGTATTTTATTTGTCAATTTATTTTGCATGTGATATGAACTCGATTTTTTTTCTGATGGGGTTTACGGGAGGCGAAGAAATAGTCGCTCGTTTGTGATTAATTATGTGCAATGCCAAGTACTCTCCTCTGAAGTAAGTGGGCTAACTTTTGTCTGGGAATCGGAACAGTTACCCGTATGCTTTCAAGTTATCTCTAGTTTTGAGGTAGCATAAATCTTAGTAATGTGAGATAATTGGTTAGTGCAAAAAAGCATAGCTGGCACGTCGCGATGGAGAACTGCAGTGTCTAATGTGACCGAGTTGTCGGTGGTCGTTGTTATAGCGCCTTTGGTTGTAAAGCAGTTTGTCCTATCTTGCCTTTTTATAAGAGCTTGCTGTGCCTGTGCGTGGAAGGTGGTGTATCCCATGTGGTCTAGTGGTTAGGATTCGTGGTTTTCACCCACGCGGCCCGGGTTCGATTCCCGGCATGGGAATGGGTTTTGTGCGAGATTCATTTAACAGTCTAACTTCAGATGGCCTATTGTATGCGACAATTCGCTGTTGACAAAAAGCACTACCGGCGCACTCGTTTTGTTAGTGTTTGACGGTCCGCTTTCGTTTCCTCTTTCGTTTTCGGTTTGAAATACGTTTTAGGCGTGATTCAGCTAGCGGTCGAAGTTGAGATGACCTAAAATCATAATCGTGTAAGATAATTGTTTGATGCAGAAAAGCATAGCGGACGCGTCGCGACTGAGCATTGCAGTATCCAATGTGACCGAATGATTAGTGTTAGTGTTGTTGTAAAGAAAAATATGGCTTCCTATCCATAATTGCAACTTTCGGCTTAACGTTTGGATGTGGCACTGGAGTGTTCATATCGGACTGGATTGTCTAGTAGGTCACTGTCTCAGCAGGGCTATCCAAGCATAGGAGTTCGATGTTGCCATGCCGAGACCGAGCTAGGATTAGATCTGTGTCTCTGTATAGAGAGCTTCCAACGTACTGGAAGAACCCCGCCACAAGTGTCAAACCTGACCCACGAGAGTCGATCATTGCCCTTGGCAATTACTTAGGCATACGTCGGCAAGAAGTTCCCTCCAACCAGCAGTATACCACTTGTTGGTTTCTTGGGGGGTTTTGACGAAATTGATATGTGATTACGCGTTTTTTCATCTTTTATATTTTCTTCATAGAGCCTGTCTCTTAGAACATTTTAGTTAGTGATCGGTACGAGTTCGCTAAGTCGGTTAAAAACACGTGATTTGTAAAAGATTTGGCAGCTTGAATTTTTAATAGTTACGGTATCTGGTGGCTATTAATGCTTCACTTCTTTTACCAAAATGTTTTTTTCTGGTTATTTTAGTGCGGTTTCTTCCTAGTCGAGTCTAGTTATTACGTGCTAGATTAATTGAGTCCAATATTTTCTGACAAGCAGTAATTATTTGTGTTGTACTTCTGTTTCATAGAAGCGTAGAAATCCTGCGAGCCCTCTCTTACCTGCTTTTCTTCTACAAAACCTCTGTGATGGAAATTTTCAACTTTCCTTATGTTTAGAATGACCATAAGGCGCACAGGTGGCGATGGTGCAAAGGTCTCGCTTATGATCTACATGCTTCTGTTTTGGGTGGGTTACTCTTATGTTAGATTGAAGACGATTTTGGGTATTCTTCATTCGAAAATCCTAGGTTTTGTACTTAGGATTGGAATTCGTTTTATCTTTAGAACTTCGTGTCTTAGCACAGCATTATCCAAGGTCTCTTATTTTGTGTTCTTCAGACATCAGGATTAGCACTTCTGTTCATTGGATTGTGGATGTTACTGGATCCAAAACGCAATTATATGTTACACTTGGTTGATTTGTCTGAGGATGATCCATTGCTGGTGAGTGTCACGCTAGAGCAAATTATTGAAGCGTAGCGAAGCAAAAAAGTTTTTTTTTCTACCGCCGTTGTTTCACCACATTGCATTTTCTTATTTTATTCATTCCATATTTGCTTTGGCACATTGAGTATTCAAACTATGTTGTTGGTTGCTTCGTTACTCTGCGGTTGTAAAGCAACAATGTAACAAAGCCCTTTACTGTAGATATCGAAAGTTTCGAAGCCCTACAAAGGAGAGAGTAACTACATAATTAATGAAAGAGTTGCTCATAATTTTTGCGAGTTTGGTCAATTAGTAGAGTTTAATTGTAAAGTCCATAAATTCGTTTACTTAATTACCACTTGCAACGTTATAAAATTCTGCTGGTTCTAAGAAAGAAATTGTTGTCATTCGACTTTCAATGCCAACCATATTTCTAGTTAATATAACAATTTATGGAGCGGGAATAGGGCAGTGGTTACTGGTTTTGTTGATCATGGAGCAGTAACTCTAGTTCGATCCCCGTCTCAACGCCCTCCTCCAATCCACGTGGGGATACCGCAACCTGGCTGTCTCCGAGATTACAAGGTTGATCGACTCAGCCAGCATTGAAACAGCACGTGAAATGTTCGAAGAACATTGTAGACGATGAATGCGAGGAAAACGAATTGAATGCAAGAAGTGCTGGGATCCACACAGTTGATGTGGTGACGGGTCATGTGAAATTGTGAAATAGGAATTTATAGTTCGGATCATCTAGAGAATTTCAGGCCTTCGCTGCCTACATCGCCATAGTCGCTGGCACAGTGTCACTCTTTGTCGGTTTCATCGGCTGCTGTGGAGCGGTGCAGCGAATGCGATGTCTTATAGTTGGGGTATGTAACTTTTCTTTCCAGTGGATTTCTGGATGGCTGTGCTTTGTAACCGCTACGGGATAGCGTTACCTGAATAGGAGTCATACAGTCGGAAAACAATGGCCGCGTTCATCTTCAAATCAACGTATTTCAACTCATATTGAATTTGATTAACTGTAATAGAAAACACTGAAAATTGTATTTTTATCTACTTTTTATAACTAATATTGTTATATCAAGGTGAGGGCCTAATTTTCTGGAGCCCATAAGACATAGTTTCATTTTTTGTTTGAGGACCTGAGTTTTGAACATGAAAGCAGTTGAGCAGCGGCGTTTCATGTAATCGGTTAGCATGATATTTTTAGATGTATCCTTTGTGTTTCCAGCTGCGGCTTATTGCGTTGGTAACTTTGAGGCTTTAAGTTTCATTTTCACTTTTTTTTGAAAGTTCTTGACTTATTTGAATTTGAAAAGGCACTTTGCAAAAGCTGCGTATGCAATTAATGTGATGGAGCGAACACTGTTCTATAGATCTACAAAATTCTGAACTCCTGAAATAGTCTAGTGATCGAGAAATTACATCAGTCATCGAAGAACTTTAAATAGTACTAAATCTCCTCCAACTCAGGCGAGTGAATAAGAAAAAAATTCTGATAGTGAGAAAAGGAAAGCGCAGCTTTATCGGTTTTGTCAGTGATCTATGGACCTTTCATAAGAATTTAAAATTCTGCACTTCTAATTTATCCTAGGTCAGTATTGGGACTTCATATCAGCGGCGGTGTTTTCACGTCTCATTTAGACCCATAGCATTTATGAACATCTTGGTTTGCGCTAAGATCTAAGTGGAGGTGTTTGAGACTAATTTTTGTATGTTCTGAACTGCTATACAAATTCCCAGTCGTTCATTTCGGCAGCTTATCCGTGAGGATGCAAATGTCGTTATTTTCATTATTTAAACTCTTCACACCAATGAAGATGGATCATCCAAATATCCAACTAAGTATTTACGCTTTCCTTCACTGTTATCGTTATTCATCTTGTTGGCCCTTAATTCACTAACCACTGCTTGCCACCTTGGGATGCTCCATGTTGCCTTGTGATTAGCAGTCATAGCAGATGATTTCAGTTCACGATGGAGTTTCAGTATCCACATATCATTTAGAAGTTTTCAGTTCATGCTGTGCCTGTTCCTGTTATTCCTGGCCGATGTCAGTATAGGAACACTGGTCTTAGTTTTCAGGAATAAGGTGAGCTGTTTACATTTCTGCTAACCGAATATTGAGTAGAAACGAAACATGGTGAATGCGTGCAGAAGTACATCTTCCTCGTTGCTAAACATCATTGTCGAAACCTCTCTATCCTTACTTCCGACATTGTTCCATGTCTAAAGTCCATCACTTTTTATAATATAAAATCTTTCCTCTCCCACTTTAGCACTTTTTTTGCATGTGCTAACTAATATAGAATAAGTGTATCCTGTTGAAAACTTTGCTGAGAATGCACGTAGCTCACGTTAACTCACGTAGTGCAACCGTCGGCTTGATTTTCGGTACAGATTGTGTGAACATATTCTCTACTCATCTGTCTGCAGTTCGCAAATGGGCAACTTACCGTCTACATGAAGAATTTGGCTCTAAATCGCTACAGTCGTGATGCATGGGTGAAACCACTGATTGACACTATTCAATTTTATGTAAGTTACGACCCTCGTTTTAATTTCTGACGTTGTTTCTGTAGACCTTATATAAAGGTGAGAAGCAGAATGTACCTTCTCAAGAACTTAGCACGTATTCTGGCAATATTCTAGAATTTTAGTAGAGTAGTGGCTGTTAACGAAATGGCTCTGTGGAACTTTTATTATGGACTGTTTTAATGGGTTTTTGTTTCCTTATTTTCTAATTCTCTCTAACGGATATTTTCAAGAAAAGATATGGCAGCTTTTCACCCTGTTATTTGTTATCATTTTAGAAATACAAAATCATGCCATCATAATCAAGTAGCTTTACGTAGTTCGCTTTGATCCACACTGAAGATGAAGTCATGTTAGGGAAATTTTTTCTTGAAGCCAACGCTTCATGTTTGACTTAATCGCATGTATTTTTTTTTGCTGTAATTTTATGTCTGTCTCTCAGTTTTAGATCGCATCTTCTATAACGCTCTATATTTTAAAGAGATTAGCATCATATAGTTTAGATCGAGCTGGATAAGTAGTCACATATTGTCACACCGTGCAGAACTTTTGTGACCTCTCTGACGATATTAATAACAGTGCGTGTGTGTGTCCATTTTGTTTCCGGTCATGTATTTAATGTCTCTATATGTTGTGTTTCTAACTTCGTTCCATTCACATGAATCTCATTATTCGTTTAATGCATCTTTGAAAATTAGTTTCTTGTACTTTCCACGCTCCCTTCCGGAACTGAATAGTCACTGTAAATTTCATGCCGATTTTGCTTATATCACGGCTATTCGTTGTTGCAGCTGTACTCACCTGATTCCAAATTTGAAGAGTATCTTCAAAACTTAATCAAATTTTCTTACGGAGTTCCCATGGAAATCGAAGAGAGTCGAAACGTCACAAGAATGATCGACAAGCTCCAATTCTATGTGAGTCCATTAGCTTTCATTACAACTTGTTGATTGTTATTTCATTACATCTCATTTATATGTCAAAAGCTCTAAAAGCTCTTAGCGTTGATCAATCTCTGAGGGATGTGCCATGTATTCGACTTCACTAAGCATCGTTTGGAGGTGATTGAATGCATATCTGGCCTTAATGACTCTCGGTAGCCTACCGACGTATCGAACCAGTGCTGCTATCCTCCCAAATAAGTCTGGTACCAATTTGTCAACTCCGGAGGGATGAAAGGCTTGGTGAGCCTTGGGTGGTGGATCAATACCATGTGTATTACAGAGCGCTTTCAACCACTGAGTTACACGTACGCTCTGTATGTCATGTCTTAATAATCACGTTTATCTGATATTATCGTTTTCCTTGATTTGATTTGATGCAACAATTTCACATTTTAGTGCAAATGTCGGAAAAATAATGTTCTCTTTTCCTTAGTGAGTTTTCGGGTAAATCAACTAAGAAAAGCTACGTTTTGAAAATTCTTGAAGCCTGAAAAAGATCTGAAGCAGTGTTGGCATGCAATAATTATTTAATTTTTGCTAGTGCAGCCTTAAAAAGTTATTAATCAGCGCATCGGACTCATTAATATTCCGTTCAACAAAACAGCCATTATATTGGCCGTCATTTTGGCTCGCCCCATATAGGATGTTAAACTTCCTTATAAATGACAGTGAATCGCTCTCCACATCAACGATCGATACGAAGGTGCCACTAGGGACGCATAGGATACAAAAACACAGCGGAGATGATTTTGATATAAAAGTCGCTATCCTCGCACGAAATCCTAAAACACCAACGCGCAAACTCCTCGAGGCTTTTTGGATAAACGCCAAGAATCCCACAATAAATAGCAGGGAGGAATGCCCCTAGATCACGCGTGATCTTGCCCGGTACCTTCGTATCGATCGTTGATGTGGGGAGGTGCAGTCGTCAACCGTATGCGACTCTGAGTGGCTGTTCTTCCTCGGTGGAAGACAGGTGAAAAAAGCGGTGGGTTTTTCGAGAAGCCGTAGATCTTGTAATTATCGTTCAGATTTTCGTCTTTCTGTTTGCGTTGTTGAACCGTTTGACGCGGTGAGTTGCGTGTTAGTGTGCCCTTCCAGGCTCTGAAGAAGGCGATTCTGCCGAAACGTGAGCTGCAGTAGTGTTGTATGTGTGTTATTGTATGGAAGTAAGCAGACGCTGTTTAACAACCTCGCGATTGCTGAGAAAGAGAACTATGCATTTATAATCCAATGCTGAGGTTAATAGAAAGTCGTTCTTGCGAACTTCGTTATATTTAGATCAAAATAATAAATCCTCTTGTTTTGTGAATATTCGTATTGCCGATAGCGAAAAACTCCTCATGAGCTTTGATACTGGTGTTTTGGCTTGACTTTTGTGACAAAGAACTTCGCTTAACACATTTACTACGAAATGAGTCACGAATGACTCACGCGTTAAGGGTTGAAGTGGCTGAGACAAATCATATATGATTTATTATCTTTTCGATTGTTTTTCTTCAAGTAGGGCTTTTTGCTGCATTTTTTTGTAGCTTATCAAATATAGATGTTGTATCGGGTCAGCCTATTTTCGAAAGAATTCACTAGGGGGTAATTTGAATTTTAATTTACAGTTATTTTATTTCCAATACCTATGATGTAGCGGTGCGTGGCGCACTCGGATATATCGTCGCGCTTCAGACTCACCAAGCCTTCCTCCCTCCGGGTTTGGCAAATTGCTACCAGACTTGTCTGGGAGGATAGCAGCACTGCACTGGCTCCATGTATCGGTAGGCCATCGCGAGTCATTGTAAAGTCAGATATGCACACGTTCACCTCCAACGATGTTTAATGGAGTCCAATGCATGGTGGTTGCCTCAGGGATTGATCAACGCCAATAGCTTTCTTTTTTACCTATGGTGAATCATGGTTATCTTATGAAATGGGTGAGTGTAAAAGTGCAGAAAGTGATTCATCATAAGTTGCGGAATTTATTGAGATGGTTACAGCAGTGAGATCGTGGACGATAATGATATATAGGTATAAAGTACCGTGCATATCATGCTTATCTTCAGAGCGATGGACAAAATGTCTTCTATAATTTCGTTGTTTTCAACAATTCAAGTACTCTAGTTATCGAAAAATTATCCGTCATCGAAAAACTGGCAAGTCCGTAACGGCATGAAGCTATGGATCAACTGGTGCGTCCGTCACACAAAGTTGGCCGCTAGTATCAAAAGGCCAAATCTTTCACTGCTGTACCATTATGTCCGAGAAACTTTTAATTTTGGGCTTTCACATTCACCTAGATGTCTTTTTATACAGGCATAGTGTTATCTCGCTATTTCACTATTATATTTGACGGGCTAGCTAACACTGAAGAAATCGGCTGGAGTACTTGGTGGTAGCGGGCTTTCACTGATATGACTAAATCTGTTTTCCACTGGGTTTTCTTAAGAGCAAAGAGAAGCGTTTACTTTTTCCAAAATAAAAATATGTCATATATTTTCACAGAGTGATCCAATAGCTATTGCCCATAAGACCATGTATATGGAAAGTCAACACTGTTTTCAAAATACTTTGATATAAATTTGAGTTGGCGAGTAGGTATGGATTGTTCTGATGGGGGAGACAAATAAGATGAATGAACTGTAAAGGAGCTGAGGGCTTTTATTGGGATATTTTTTGTGATATATTACAAAATGTAATTGGTTCATGGGACTAGTTCTTATGATAGGTTAGCACTTAGAGTCGGACGCGTAAATCCGTGTTTTCGACGCATCTGTTTGATTCCTAGTTTTCGGCGCATGAGTTAGTGTCAACCCATGTCGGCAAAAGTGCCACATTAGCTCCGGCTTTTGTATGCATTTTTCCAGTACTTTCCGTGGGTTTTGTTTTCTAGATATCTTACGTATTCTTCTATGTTTCTGAATCATTTTGAGCTTTTGTATGTGTCAAAAAAATCTGTGTACAACTGAGTTACTGTCAGCATTCGGTAACTGGTTTGACCACTTGCATGAACTTAATCTCGATGTTTTTTTTCTTGATACCCGTACCATTTCATCGGTGTTGATAAATCCCTGGGAGGTGCGCTATACATTCGACTACAACAAGCATTTTTAAAGAGGACTGAATACATATCGAGGCTGTACAGTGACTTGCTATATCCTTCCGATCTGTTAGTCCGCTGTTTTTTCTTCCCTGACAAATGTGAAATCAATTTACCGACCTAAGAGTCGTGAAAGGCTCAATAAGCCCGGGCCCGGAATTGAACTAGCCATCGTTTATGTATTGCAAAGCGCCTGTGACCAATGTATTAAACGTTGACACTTGATAACTACCTATGTCTTATTCTGACCTATTCAGAATGTTATGCAATTGGTAATTCTGCGATTTTTGGAATATTGTGAATAACGTAATTATTTTCAGGAAGAATGCTGCGGTGTCAATTCGGGAGATGACTACTTGGCCAGCCGATGGGCTGCAGCGGTCGCAGCAGATCCCATTTACGAATTCGAGGACCCACCACTCGTTCCATTGTCATGTTGTCGTCAACTTATCGGCTCATCAGCGCTTAACCCGATTGCCAAAAGTATGGCTCGGTGCCAGCAAAGCAATACCAACAGGAATTGGAGGCACACTACTGTAAGCTTGAGAAGTGGAAAAACTCTCACTCAACCTTAATCTCGGCGATTCACAAACGACAACAGGAAAAGTCGGAGGTGAACTGCCCCAGTGCCCAATTCTATTTGGACGGTGAGATGGTTAAGACGAAAATCACATAACAGTGATTGTTTCAATGAAAGTATCCGAAGTCACGAAAACACTGAATCATGTGGCTTATTTGTTGTTTTTCATTGGTATTACTTTACGTCCTATAATCATGCGATTTTCAATTATTTTGTCTATTTTCTTATAGCCTGTATTCCAAGTGTATGGTAGTCATCGAAATTGTTAATGCCATTTTCGCTGTGGCTTGTCTTTTCTGTTTCACTAATCATCGTTTTCTAAGCAAACTAACTAATGCACAACATATGTTTCGACTATCGTAGGCTTTTGTTTCGTGTGCTTAGTTTACATTATCAGATCGCCGTACAGATACACTTAAGTTGGGGAACCTGCAGTCCAAAGTAATGTGAATTCACTTATTGCGCAAAATCGCGAGTGGTTACGGTAGTCGGTGTCTGTTTTCGTGCGGTCATACGATGTCTTATTGTCTGTCTTGCAGTATTTCGATAACGAAACAAGTGACGAATGTGAAGTGTGTGATGTTTAGCAGCAGTGTTGTGGTAGTATCGGACCACGCGACTACTATAACTCGTTTTGGTTCATAACGAACACTGATCGTGGCACGAGGTCCTTCGTGCCGCCGTCCTGCTGTCGCCAGTCGCAAGCTGGACGTGCGTGGTCACTGGTACCGATCGATCCCATGTGTACTCTCTATTACTACGATTCACAAGCCTTCACTAGCTCTGTGTATAATATTGTAAGTTATTGCTAACATTCTGTATTAAGCAGGTCTTGTTTTCTAATGTTCGGGTTATGATTTCTAACAAGGTTGCTGCTAATACATCATTTAGTTCTTAGTGACTTATCTTTCGGTAGAAGCTCGATGCATATGACCGAATAATTGTGCGATTTAGTTAGTGAGCAAGTCAGTGGTTTATCCTTTACAAACGAGTTTATGAGAAACTCATGAGACCGAGGGATGGAAATCTAGCGTGATATGACGCAGGAGCTGAGTTTGATAGTTCAATAATCGTAATCGCGGTAGTGGTGCTTTATTACACTACAAGTTTTTGACGAAGAGAAGCGCTTGAATTCTACAAAAGTAACCTTCTTGTGGTGCTGTATCCAATGATAAGGAATTTTTTCCTAAAAATATCCAAACTATATTGCATTTAAGCTTAGCATTCCTAGCCGTTGTTCAGTTTCGTGGCCAACCTAACGTGGAGTATTGTTGAAGTGGACTGGAAATTGTGTAAACCTGTACAGAGCTTACTTTAACTTCGTTCAAACTTCTGACTATCGTCTTTATAGGGATGCCATGAAAAACTTTTGCGATGGTTAGACGAGCAGACCTATATCTTTGCCGGAGTTGGTTTCGGCTTCGCTGCTCTCATGGTTGGTCATTAACCCTACATTTGCTCCATTCTAAAGAGCGATGTGAAAAATATTTCCTTATATTTTGAGAACAATTCTTTTTGTAACGACAAATTGTACACTTTTCGATATCATTTGGGCTGAAGAACTACAGAAAAGTTTTAGACTATATGAGGGTATGCAGGTGATATTAAAAGGAATAAAAGAGATTTCTACAGAGTAAGGAAGAAGGAAAGAAAAGAGTATGAAATTATGAAAAAGAATATTCCTTGATTTAGTTGTGTTGGAAAACAAAAGGAGACGTTCATTTTAAGAGTAAGAAAGAGACGTTTAGAAAAATTCATAAAGTGATTTGGAGATTTTTTGTAAAATTCGATATCCTAAGTATTAATTTTTTATATGTTCAGAACTTTTCAGACTATTGGGATGGCGATATCATTAGTTCTGTGCAACAGTGTAAAATATTACACTTTCATTGAGGACGAATAATCCTAATCCAAAGAACATTCGCCGTATTTCAGGATCTTTTCCGCTAGTAATCTCATTTGTGTATCATATAATTATATAATTCTTTTCCTCAGTGGCCTTGCTATCGCTCTGCTGTCGTAGTCGTTGTACTTCTTATTTTTGATGTTAACTCCAATAATTTTTAGATGGGTTATATTATCAAGTGCTTGGTCTTTAGATGTGCGTCAAAGTGAGCCTATAAAGTTCTCTGTCCCTGTTAAATGTACTTTCATATGTCTCTGTCACATGAGGAAGTGAATACTGTGAAATAAGTAAGAAGCAGTGGTTTCTTAAAATGATCTATCACCTCCTTTCAATTGTGAGTTTCTTCACGTTCTGCGTCAGAAAAAAGTATTTTGAGGACCATTAGTGTTTTTTCCTTTCATAGAATTGGTTGGGCGGTATAATTGTGTGCCTTCGTAGGTGAAAAATGGCTTATGGTTTTCTTTGTGTTACTAACATCTGTGGAGTTTTTACATACCATATGGCGGTGTAATGACCGAAATATTTGGATTGAATAGTCAGAGTGGTCGTACTCGATTGTATTTTCGTTTATGTATGTATGTCTTTCTCGAAGAATATTTTTGTCTGGCCCTGGTAACCCTCTGTCTTTCCACAATTGAAGAATCATGAAACAAGCCACCTACAGTTAATGTATTGCGCTGGTACATTCAAACTTTAACAGTACGTGTCTTTAGAATATACTTGACACTTGAACGGCCCGTCCTCAATGGCTGTGCGGACCCCAGCATAATCACCATTTCTCGGAGATTTGCTCATCAAACTATTGTGGTTCCGTGGAATCCCGAGGTCAGCCTGGTTAATGTCTGCCGCAGGTTTTCACCACCACAGGCAGTCGCAGCCCTTGTGGATCAGAGGGAGAGTTGCCACCGCGCGACTAGTTTGGTACCAGGACGGTGGTGGATCCTGGTATTGGTTTACTCTTAGCTAAGCTTCCTGATGGATACGCCGGACCCCTCCTCAGCTTGGAGCACCATGCCTTGGGGGACGAATTTCCCCGCTGTACATCGCGGTCCGAGACGCAGGAACGCCTCTTAGCCACGGTGGGACGGTAAACTGTTGGGAGGTCTTTGGAACATAACAACAGATATCTTTATGAAATACCATTGGAATACTGTTATTAGCAAAAAATGAAAGATGTTGAGGCATTTGGGTGCTACTGAGGTACCGATGGTGGCTATGTTAAAAATGGATAAAGGTGGACCTCAGTACTAAACGGTATCATGGAGAATTCGTTGCTAGTTCCATGATTCTTCGCTGCCAAACTTTTTGAATGATCAGTTGCTTGCTAGTCAGTTCAGGCTTCACTCCTTCCAGTCACCTCATTGTTGTATGAGATTGACTGAGATTGAAATAGGGTACACCTGGTGCATTCTATGGTAGGCCGGCCAGCGAAACACAGCTGCTGTTCGTCCTACGAACTGCCGTTATTCGGCCGTCTCAGGATGACCATCTATTCACCATTCGTTGTTTCTCCATCAATCACTCTTTATTATACAACGCTAATTCGATTTCATCAACCATCGTCAGAGGTAGTTCAATGCATATCTAGTCGATACAATGGCTTGCGATGGTCCACCAATGCGTCATGTCAGTGCTGATACCCTAACAAACTAGTGTGGCATCAATTTGGCAACCCTTAAGAGATAGAAGGATTAGTGAGCTCGGGACCCGAGATCGAATCAATGACCAGGTATGCATTGCAGGGCTCCTCTACCCATTGCACTACACGCACCCTAGGAAGAATCGTATACTAAAAAAATGGCGCGTAGTGTGCTGCTTTTGCCTTCATCACAGTATCCTTAATGCTTCTGCAAGTCAACCAAACCGCCCGTTTTTTATTCCTTAGCTCAGGAACTAAGCCGTTTACTGCGTTGATTTCTTTACAAGATACATACCAATGGTACGTCGTTTTCTTAATGTTCTAGTGAAGACAAATTTTCAGCATTGCGCACAACCAATGTCTGGTGTTATAAGAACGTTATCATCAGTAAAACGGAAGTAGTTGGCTACCATGAACTAATCTCTGGTGCTATCCCATTCCAGTTTTATACAACTTCGAGAGTATCTGTAAACAATTTTGATGAGATAGTATCGTCTTCTCGAACCCTTCTATACCTGCGATATTTTTTATAATAACGCAGTTATGAACACGACGTCCTTGTAGAATTCATAAGAGATTTTTGTGTACTAAGCAGTAACGTCTTCGCTTTAAAAGCTTCCATGGCCACTTCTTTCTGAACTGGATCGTAGGCTTTTTTAAGGCGACAAAATGAGACGAGGAGATTTCTTGCACATTCGTGATGCTTCAGTGAGCTTCTTTATCATGTGGATGAGGTCTACCTTACTGAATCTTTTCGAAACCATGCCTGCCTACTTGTACGGTTGTCGTTCGTCCAACGGCATAATCCCGTTGAAGATGACTCGGGTGAAGAACATGTAGATAACGGGAAACAGATAGATCGGGTTATAGAAAAGTGGAACAACACTGTCCTATTGGTTTTTTATCGATTTGGAACCTTGCGTCCTTATAGGAGATTGAATCAGGTGCTGTACAGTTCTTCATCGACGAGGTAACACTTTCATCACTAAGGATATGACCCGTTGAGACAACACGTGCACGACAACAACTACACATATCCTTCGTACAGTTCATAAAAACCACTACATTTCAGCGGTTACGTGCCGCTGTGCCTCTTTCCGTAGCCTTAGTGACAACATATCCATCAATAACAAATGAAACAACTGATTGTCCGCAGTACTTTGAATGCAAACATTACCACAGTTTAAGCCACAACACTTTTGATTTATTATAAACTTCATCTGCTAAAGGTAGAGTAGAGTAATGATAAGTCAACGTTTTATCAATAACTTTCAGTAATAGGCACTGTTGGGTCCGGCTTTCGTTATTTGTGCATATTTTGAAACCATACTTTAGCTATTTGCACATGTTCAATTTCGCGCCATATTTGCACCTTGGTTTAGGATCTTTGAAACCGATAGAGCATAAGACGTTTAGCATCAAAAAAGAAAATTTCGTCAAGTCTTGAAGAATTCATATCCTTCCAGAATAGTCTGTTATCAGTTTCCTGACCACGGAGAATTTGGTGAGTCTGAGACTCAGAATAGACCCACCGACAACACGTTTACTGTAGGGCATCTTAAAGCATTGTGCTAAACACTCCAAACTTGGGATCTTACAGGGGAAAGGAAGTGCTTGTTACGCATTGCAGTGGGGTACTACGGATATTTCACATTAGAGATACTTCAGTTTTATTAATTTAACCCTTTAAGGTAGCAAGTAGTATAGTGGTAGTGGGGCCATCAGTGGTACAATGCTGGTTCGAACCCTGTCCGGGCTCATTAAGTCTCTCATCCCTCTGAATTCGTGGGACTGCTAGCAGACTTATCACAAACAATTCAATCCTTGCAATCTAAGTGGAGACGCTCTACTTCAGCTATCTCAGCACTGCAGGGGAATGCACTCGATCAGCATTCGACGACGTTCATAAAGAAGACGATAACCCTCAAGCTGCCGTCGGATTGAGATGCAAAAAGTTCGAAGACCTTCGTGGTATTTGAGAAGTGAAGCGAATGGAAGAAATGATGGGATCTGCACAGATGTGAAAAATGTATGAAGAAAAAATTCAACCTTCACCATCAACTAACGTTTCAACATGTATTTCTTTTACAAAAGAAAAATAAAAACTATTCCAACTTGTCCCAAGTTTGAAAGCATAACGGCAAGGAAGTAACAGTGAGAAATACGTGGATACATGAAGACCATGGTGGATGTCGTTAATAGAACAAAATATCAGAAAGCGCTGTTAAACACGTTTTCAAGAAGTTGAAACTAAAGTATGTCCCATAACACATAGGTCAGAAAGTGAGTCCAAGTTCAAACCTTAGATGAATACTATTGTTCGGAAAAGGAGCTGTATACACCTTGATAATAGGTATCAGACTGCTCGAGCATGTGAAACATCCTCAACGACAATGGTGGTTAAGAGCCGTTGCCTACTAAGTCCGAGGGGATGTCAAACGCAAAGTGAAAATACTGCAGACCAAAGGTAATAAAAAAGACGAGATGTTCTTTGAGTCTTTGAATCGAGCATATTTCGCTAGACCACTCTAGTACTCGACAGGAGCATATTGGGATTTTATCGGCGCTGTCTTTAGTAACTCGACGTTCAACGAAAAGACATTTGATAAAAGTGACATACAAACTCTCAAGTTGTAGGCTGTGTCTCTGGCGTTTACTTTTAGACATGTAGGCATTAGCCTCATTTTTACTAGTGTCGTTCAATTATGTGCAAGTAGACTTTTTTTTGCACAGTAGGATTTCACTAATGAATGTTTAGTTGGACAATTTTTTGCAATATCTAAGCTTTTTAAGCTTCCATCTGGTATAAGGGGTCAGTGCGATGTTCATGAAATTTGATGTGGTATGGCCCTAAAATCCTTTTCTAATCGCAGTGGCAATTTCTGACAAGTTTCCAGTTATCCGTTAACTTCATTAAGTTGTCTTATTTCTCCTAGCAATAGATCAGAAAAGTACGGCGAAGTGTTTCTTAAGGTGATTAGTTTAAAAAACGAAAGTATTTAAGAGGTAAATGGATCACGGACCTTCAGTGCTTACGAAAGTAGAAAAACAAGGATAGATGGCTGCTCTTCTAGCACTTTTCTTTTATTTTTTCGACTATTGAGCGAGTGATAAAGACGGAGTAAACAAGAATCTATTGCGACAAGGCGCGTGTAGTGCAGTGGTTAGAGGCGCCAGCAATACACATAGGGTCGATCTGGCTTCCCGGGCTCACCATGCCTTTGTCCCTCCGGGTTCAGCAAATTGCTAGCAGGCCTGTCTGGGAGGATAGCAGCATTGACTTGATTCATTGGTAGGCCACCGCATCTTCTTTTATAGACCAGTTATGCATTCGATCACCTCCAACGCGACAACGAACTTTTTTGATTTTTTTTTTCGCGTAATCTCCCTGAAATGTTGGAAACGAACAGGTTTAGTTGAGCAATTTCTCATCGATTGGACTTCTTCCCGATCGTCTGCGCTGATCCACGAGTGAGTGTGATCGATATTGAACCAACCTCATCGTGCCTCTGACTGAGTGCAGGCTTTACACTCACAAACCACCACGACAGACGGTTGCCTGAGCGATTTGCCCCAGCCCACACCCTGCACGAATCCCGAGGCCCTCTGAACGAGTGAGTGTATCCGCTGAATGACTTCAAGTGAATGACGCATTTACTTGTCTCGCAACTAAGTCATCGTTATCGGAGAGTTCCATTAAAATTTTTGCCTTATTTCTACTCTTATCGCTTCAGGGTCCCGTTGTTGATCTTCTAACAGCAAGCGTTACATGTTTAGAAATCCCAAAAATCACCGAAAAGCGAATCTCGTCGAAGAAACTTAGTAAATCTACTTACTGGTTGATAAGAACCTGTGCTCATCTCCGTCTCTGTTTTGGCTCTCTTCAATGTCCTTCAATGACATTTTTTTCTTACAGGAAAAATATGGCCGTCCTGTAATGACCAGGTTGAAAATCAGAATAAAGATCACACTTCCTCCCCTATCTTTTTGAAACATGTTTGTTTATATTATTGAGCTTACATGAGATTGATATGAGATGTTTATTCGGCCAACGTTTCGACGTCTTCGTCTTCATCAGTGCCGACGATCCTTGTCGATAGTCCACAGTCCCAGTCAGTCGCAGGTTCAAATGGTCTCAGTCATTATTATAGTGCCGAGGTTAAATGACGGTCGGTTTCAAAATTGTTTCGAAACATAATTAAGACTGAATAATGAGGAAAAAATATTAATTTTTTCATACACTCAACATAGCCGTGCCTTTTTATTTTGATAGGATACACAGAAGTCTATGGAGACGATATTTACATAAGACCTAATACTTTTTATATGCTATTACTTTCGCTTTCTGTCGTTGCAGTGTTTTCGAAGTGATGTTAAGCGATGAGTTTGAGATACAGACTGTCCTAAACATAACAGTTCCTTCTATGTGAGCGATGGATATCCATGAAATGCTCCTCTAGGTAGGATTTTACTGGTACGTTAACAAATTCTAACAGAGCTACTGTGTGACAACTTGGCTACTATCCACTGTGAACGACGTTTCCATTGGTATTTGTGTGATTTTCTGCCTTGTTCTGAAGTGAGCGTGAAATAGTTTTCATGGTTATGTGATTATTTGAGAGATTGTTTGACATTTTCGTGTATGGCATCGTCAGTAGGAATTTTTTATCCTCGTTATCCTCGTAGTATGAAGCCTAAGTTTTTTCTTTTTCTTCTATTTTTTGCTTGCTCAGAACAGCCTTCTAATAATGTCTTGGGCTGATCTCGTCAACAACAATCTGGTCGGTTCCGGTAACGTCAGTAAAGCCGCTATTTGTGGATTCGATGGTTCGATTTGGGGTAAAAGCGATAATTTCAAGGCGAGGAATCTTTCAATAATCTCAGCTAATTTTTTTCCTCAATTTTGACTTATTGAATTAGTAGATGATACACATTGGGTTAAGAATGGTGGTGAAAATGCTACTGAACTTTCATTACTGTTGAATTTGCGGAAAATGTTCGCCGACTTGCATCTTTAAGACAAATGCACTAGAGATTTGCTATTTAACCTATAAATTGTTAGTTCAAGTAAGTAAGTAGTTGGTCGTTAGTTTGACCATGTGGCTGAGTAGGAATCCCATACCTCTGAGATCGGAAAAATATTACGATGCTCGTCTGGGCGCTCAATCATCTTTACGATGAGGTCGGACGTATTATGCATTCCTTAGAGACTGATCAACATCGAGCACGTTTTGCTAACTATTGTTAGTCTGACAAGATCTTTTTTCCTTGACTTTTCGAGACATCCATGAAAGTGCGTTGTTATGTAGTCATAACTGCTTGACGCTGGAAGAACAGCAGTTGTATACTTTTATAGATGAGAGATTCTTAACGCCTTCGGAATATGCTTCATCTCCTAGTGAATCGTGACTTTACTCTTGATTGGGTTCTCGAATGCGAATGTTGAATTGCTCAGCCTGGCTAGAAGAGAGGGCACCTGGTTATAGTTGCGCTGTATATAAAATGTAATCTGTGACCTTTATATACCTTTTGCATAAGTAACAAGTTTGATTATTGCTGCATTTTCAATTTCTCCGGTGAATCTGCGCAAAACCTTCCGCCTATGACGCAAGTTAAGGTATTCATTCAAGCTCACTGACTTCCTTTGAGACGCGATTGCATTTGTGGGCGTTGGGCTGGTTCTTCCAGTCAACTGTATCGAGGCCGCTGGCGGAGTTCTAGGAAAACCACCACTGCATTCAAGATATTCGAGAGAAGCAATGACATCAGTGCAAACAAATGTGCTTGCGACCTGTTGTCATAAAATTTTTCGATTTGTATCGAAGTTCCTATTGATATAATAAAACATGAACCTTTTGTAATTGTTTGTTGAGATACCGATGAAAATTTTTGGATTGTATTTTTTAAAGCCAGGAGAAGAAATTTTTCGTCGCAGCTAATATCATTGTGAAGTGCGGAAGTAAAGGGGTGTGCACAGGTTTTTTTAGAGAGCAAGTTATATAATAAGTTTTCCTAATACAGGGTGTTTGTGGCGCAGTGGTCGGAGGCGCCCTGCAACACACGCTCCACGCCCATAGCCCACCAAGCCTTCCATTCTTTCGGGTTCGGCAAATTGGTGCCAGACTTGTCTGGGAGGATAGCAGTACTGGCTCGATACATCGGTAGGCCACCGCGAATCATTGTAAAGGTCAGATATGCATTCAGTCACCTCCAAACGATTCCGAATAAAGTCGAATTTAAGGCGCATCCCTCAGGGATTAATCAACGCCGAGAGCTTTATCCTTTTTATTATCTCTCAATACAAGGTGAACTGCACTGCACCACTTTCTACCATTTTTTCAACCGCCTTCATTTTTTTTTCATGTAATAGATGAGAATTGAACATTTTATCACCTGTAATGCTATTAATCACCGGGTAACTCGACCAGACGTCAACAAACTACGTTCATCTTCACGGTGCTCAGTTCCAACTGCAATCAACTTCAATGAGGATAATACTTTTAGTACCATGGCTTTTAAAATTTCTCAAAAGTTGGGTAGCTTAAGCAGCTACAAGCAGTTTGCTAGCCTCGTGGTTGCATGCTTTCACGCTCATTCAGAGTCCGGAGTGGAAATGTCGAACCCCTCAGTTTAAGTGATCGTTCTCGTATGAACTCTTTCTGGAAATTGTTCTAACTTTTGTTTACTGCGTATTCTTTTTTTTCATGACTGGGTACGATATGAGATACAACCATAAGGGTGCTGACATATGAAGGAAAAACGTGGCTAGGAGAAAAACAAAGCAAAGGCCACGCGATTGGCGTGGTGGACGGCACGCGAGCCCTCAGAAGTGGTAATCGCGAGCTTGAAGGTTATTTGAGGTTCCGAGTTTTGCTCATATCTCAGCATCCTTCCCGGATACTTCAGCTTGTCTCCAGTTACGTTAAGACGCTGTTTTGTTAGAGTGATTTAAAACATCGATATAAAAAATATAAGAAATAATGAATAAAACGTCCTGCATTGATCAATCCCTTAGGGATGCACCGTGTACTTAACCCAACTCTGAGCATCGTCGGTGTGATTGAATGCATATTTGGCTTACACAGTGACTTGCAGAGACTTATGGAAGTACCACGTTGGTATTGTTATCCTCCTATAGTAGTGTGTCCGCAGACCCCGAGACAATAGTTGACTTGGTTAGCGGCGGTTACGGAATCGAACAAAAAGCCACATGTGTACTAGAAGGCATCTCAAACCAGCGAGAGACGGATGCACTTATAAAAGTGCCCATCAGCGAAATTACTTCTGAATACCTGCGTATATGAATCAAATACTTGTTGCAGTGCAGTTTGGTTTAAAGAAGAAAATGTTCTAAAATTTGCAACACTGTTATCAGTTAGTGAAAAAGAACTTGGTAAATTTGTAGATTACGCCAGAGGAAGCGGCGGCAGCTGGACGAGGTTTTGCAAACAAGGACGGCTTATTGGGCACCGGTTTGAAATTCGAAGGCGAAAAGTGGGTGCAAAGGCTCTCCTAAAGCGATTCATTTTTATTGCAGAATAGTCGACTTAAAATAAATCTTCAATTAAATAAAAGTCCTTATTTTTTAGTGGTTCGTTAAAATGTTGCTTTTTTTTCAGGTATTTTGTGTTAAATGCAGACGATGATAGAGTGATTGGAAAAAAAGGCTCACAAGGCTTTTTCATATACAAAACGGGACAAAGTAAGACAGGATTTGTTATTAATCAGTTTTATTTTTTTCAACCGAGATTTAGAGAAGTTTAGAAGGATAAAGGATAAAGCTGTCGGCTTTGATCTATCCTTGAGGGATGCGTCATGCATTCGACTTCATTAAGCATCGTTTGGAGGTGATTGATTGCATATCTGGTCTTTACAATGACTCGCGGTGCCCTACCGTTGTGTCGAACCAGTGCTGCTATTCTCCCAAACAAGTCGAACACCACTTTGCCGACCCCGGAGGGATGGAAAGCTTGGTGTGCAACGGGCGTGGGCATCGATCTCAAGTGTGTGTCGCAGGGCGCATGCGACCACTGCGCCACACGCGTCTCTAACATAACTGCATGAATAACGTAGAACACCCTTTAGCTAATGGAAGAAAAGTCACTTAATATCATCATTTTTTAACGGAGATTTGATTCCATTTTATATAACTAGGGTCGCGTGTGGCGCAGTGGTCCGAGGCGCCGTGCAATACACACGTGGAATCGGTTTCGTCGCCCATGGCCCACCAGGCTTTTCATCCCTCCAGGGTCTGAGAATTGGTACCGGACTTGTCTCGGGGGATAGCAGACTGGCTCGACACGACGGTAGGGCACCGCGAATCATTGTAAAGGCTAGGTGTGCATTCAATTACCTTCAAACAATGCTTAATGAAGTCGAACGCATCTTTAAATGAAATGATCAACGCAGAGAGTTTTATCCTTTATTTTTTACAAATTAAGCCTTTGACAATTGGATTTCATAAAATTTCTAAAACAGTGGAATCATTACTTGCCGGATTTTCATCTGTTTGTAAATGTCAACAAAAGTGTGTGAGTGGTTTTTTTTTTTTTACTTTCAGCTGTAATAATTTCGATTTATGAAGGAGGTGTACAGCCGGAAGCATGCAGTAAGACAACGGGTGCACTAGCGGATTATTTTAAGAGCATCAATTATTGATGAGAGGAATAAAGTGGGTCTAACCAGCTTTTTAAACTATCTAAATTTTTTTTTTATAGCAATTGAGTTCTGTGCATTTGAGGAACTTCAAGAGCGTCATAGCTGACCGTTATCAAAAGTCTCATCATCGTCGTAGTTATGTAATGCTCTTTGCCGTCCCGCGTTCCAGCTCCTCTCGATAGAGCTTTTGTCAATTAGTTTTTCTTTTGGATTTTTCTAATTCTTTAGAGGTGTGTGCACTCGCAAGAGGCTGTACCTTTCAACAGACTCATGCCCGTGGTTCGACAACTCTTGCTAGGCTAACCAAGCTTCCCATCTCTCTGTGATGAGAACTGATAGCAGACTTCTAGCAAGCTCTCTCTCTCTCTCTCTCTCTCTTTCTCTCTCTCTCTCTCTCTCTCTCTCTCTGTGGTCCGTAAGATTTAGGAACGCTTTAGCACGGCTATCTCAGTATCGACTTTAGCATAAGGAGCATCGAATCGAACGACATTCGTTAGGAAAACTAAATGCCTTTAAGCAGTATCCTGTACATGCACGACTTTCTTGGGTATTGAATGGAATAGTAGAAAACGAGTTGAATGGGAGTACTGGGATCTTCACAGTATTTGTCACGGCGGGTGATATGGAAAAAAAGTTCTTCTTCAACGCATACGTGACTATGCCAAATATTTCATCGCGCACAGTGCGCGATGAAAACTTCAGGTAATAGAAAGTCTTTCGCGAATTATTAGGTATAAAGAATAGCTATTTGTGGACCATGTCTAGCACCAGTTCACTGCGTAATAAGCAATCGATTGAATATAAATATTAGGTCCTAGGAAATTAGTCCAGGATTTAAACCTGCACTTCAAAAGTTTCATATCTCACTCTGGAATGAGTCTTGTTAATCTAAATGAAAACCGTTTGAATCTATACGTTTTGTGTCGTTTTCTTCCTCAGCAATCGCAAGGTTGTTATACAGCATACGTTTACTTCTTTACTTCTAAACACGCAGTGCAATACAACAGTAGCTGACGTTTCGGCAGTATCGCTTTCTTCAGAAACGCTTCAATAACACTTACAAAAAGACGAAAAACTCTATAGCAATTACATGATCAACAGCTTCTCGAAATACTCACCGCTTTTTTTCGTGATTTCCAATGAGGAAGTTTAGAACAGCTGATTATAGTCGCATATGCTTGATGACTGCACCATCCCACATCAGAAATTGATGCGTACATACGGGGCAAGGTTGCGTGTGACCTCTAGGCATTCCTCCCTGCTATTCACTGTGGGGTTTTTGGTATTTATCCAAAAGCCTCAGGAAGCTTGGGCGTTGGTGTCTTAGTCTCCTCTGCGAGGCTTTAACTTCAAAATCGTCTCCGCTAAGCTTTTGTATCCTATGCGTGCCTAGTAGAGTACTTTGTCTTGCTTTTCGTTTGCCATTTAGGTGTTCTTTTATACGGATACACAAAGATCTGCCCGTTTTGCTAATATATTCATCTTCGCAATTATTATAAAAGATCAGGTGTATCGTACTTGGACTCAAGTAATCACCGTCTCTGTCATAAGGGCAAATTACGCCATTTGTTGTTTCACATAGGCAGTCATACAAGCGGTTACGAATTAACTGTAGTAGTAGCCAACTATCAACTATCGCTACCGATTCCTCTATACGTTTTGCCAAGGAGGAACGTGTTTCCTTATTCTGGGTTGCTTCAAGCGCTAGAGAGCTGGAGGGCACGAAATCGTTGAAGGCAGTTAAGGCCTCGTCTTGGCTTCTGAAGCATTTCTTGCACAGGAAGTTATCAACATGTCTGATGGAATGGTAATCGGTAGGCAAAGTATGGGGAGTATGGTAGATGAGATAAAGTTAAGAATCACAGTTCGTTCAATATTTACAGTGGCGGTAGTGAGACGTGTTGGCATTCCTGACAGCATACATTTGTGAGGCTTTTTCGACTTTTCGAAATTTTCTTAGGTGCTCCAAAATAGGCGGAACTCCTACAATAAGTTCTTCTGCAAGTTCTTGACCAGTTGTGTGTGTAATTGAATCCAGAAAAGAATTGAGTTTATCATCTTCAATAGCTGAAGGACATCTGTGACATTTCTCATATTTATCTTCGAATTTGCCATGACGACGTTTCTAAAGCCAGTGTCGCATTGTGTAACCGTGAACACTTCCTTTCCATACCCTATTAATGTTCCGAGTTGTCTGTATTGCTTTCATTCAAGTATGAATTCGTAGAATTTGATTCGTCGAAGTTTCTGTTCCACCATCTGAAATTCTGGCCTTCTGAATTCGTCGAAAGCGCGATTTAAATTTTGTGTTTTATTTATTTTAATTTAGTTTTTTATTTTAGCTTTAATTTTGATGTAATTTTAGCAAGTTAATTTGCAATTCAACTATACAGAGCGAGGGTCCATGAAAGTCTATGAAGAAAGCTTTGCATTGACGTATAAGTAGTACAGCGTTCGAAAAAAGTGACGTAAACCATGTACAAAGTAAACAAACCAAAAATCCTGCTTTAACTTCGAAATAACCTACTAGCACAGAAAACCAGCTGTACGCGGTGAAATAAACGGTCTGGAAGAATATACATCGGAACTGATACCTACAATCCGTTTGTCCTCTGATATCAATGCATGCGGTTCACCTGTCCGTTAACCAAATAGCTCTTCCGGCGTACGTGGAGTCAGCGGTTCCACTTGATAACTAGATGATCTCCCAAAGACATATTCCAACAGACCGATCGTGCTTTGGTAATGGGTGCGTAATGCTCATGTTTCCGATGAATATAAGAATAGGGCTAATAGCTACTTCGCAGGAGTGACCTTATTCTTAATTATGTGCATTTAACCACAATAGTGCAGTGATAGTTACAGAGCTCTGAACCGCATGTGTTTGCTGTGGGGATCGAACCTGTTGTTACCCTTTCCGGGGGCTGTGTTCACCGCCACACCGTGCTGGTCTTTTGTTTCGCTTTTCTCTCATCCTTCTTTTAACCTATACGTGCTATCAGCAACCACCCGCCAGCACGATTGAACTGGGGAAACAAATTGGCATTGAACGATTGAAAAAGAATGGGCAATAGATAAAAAGTGACAACATTGGGATTTACACTACACCTTTAGCTTAGCTGAATTTCGTGCTGATTTGCGTTTCTCAGATCAAACCTGTTGGCGGGTGTTTGCTGATAGCAACTATAGGTTAAAACACGCCTGAGAGAAAGGCGAAACAAGGGACCCGCACAGTGTGGTGGTGAACAAGTTAGCCCACGGAAGAGGAAATAGCGGGTTCAATTCCCACCGCAGACATCTATGGTCCGGTGTTCTGAAAATATCTCAACATTATTATGGTTATATTTCACATAATGCTTTGCCATGAAAGAAGAACAGGCAGTAAATAAAAAGTGATAGTATATGTGCATTTGCTTCCATTCACGTCCGCAGGCCTTTATGTTGTTCGTTTCTTTTGTCATGTCTAATTTTGTTAGCATTCAGATGCCCATTTAATATTTGTGCGACTGAGGTTGTTTACGAAGCAGTTATTCCTGAACAACTACCATTTACGTTTTCTGCAGTACATAGCGATTTGTCTTTGATTACTATTAAGTATGGTTGGCCCCGTTTGAGCAATAATTGGAGTGAATTCTTCCTAATGCATGTCTTTGTTGACGACAGTAATGAGTTTCGTTAAGATGCTGTGCCTTTGTCGGCCATGTCCTTCTACGTCAACGATTATTTGCTAAGGGAAACTTCGGCTCTTCTAGACTTTCTAATGAAATCTTGAAATGTATATTTTCAGTAATCTGTTATGCTTACGTGACTGCCTTTTGTGTTCCGCATATTGTTTTGAGAATAACAAGAGTGGATAGATTGTAAAGAGCAAGGGTTCGCTGTCAGATCGACAACTGCCAATGTCGTGGGCTCCAATCTTCGTACAGAGAAAGTTGTGCTCGTTTTCCTCTCAGTGGGCTTATTTTTTAATAAGAAAAGTAGCTGATCATAAACAGCGCTTATTTATTTATGTATAGGGCACCGTTCCCTTCTCCACCTTTCTCGAAAGTGAGTGTCATTCAAGAACAAAAGTTGCTCTGTCGATCTTGCAGTTTGCACTCCTGTTTTTATTATTAGTCTTTACTGCATGTCCATCTTGAGTTAATAGTGTATTTTTGAGATCCACCTAGGGCACAGTTTTGCTATTATATTCCTCTGTCGTTTTGAAATTTTCCACTTCGTAAGTAGTTTCCTTTTCTTACTAATTTTTCTCCTTTGTATGAGAAAGTAGCAGCAGTGGGTTGAAATCCCATTCTGAATTTTTCTACAACATCAGTACCAGGTGTTCAAGATAAAACGGTGAGTTTTGTTATTTTCGGTTGGGTGACCTGTGTGAGCCCGTTCAACGAAAGTGTTAGAGAACAAGTGGAGTTTCAAGCTGCACAATAGTAGGTAATGATGGACGGTGTTAGTCAGTATGGAAAACTGCAAGAACTGTTTTTCATTTCATAGGATGCACAAAAAGTTTTTCAAAGATACTTTTGCTTAGTCGCAATTTATGGATGGGAGTTCCCGCAAACTTGTGGTCTTAACCATTGAACTGAGGCAAACTGGAATGGATGGAGAGTCTCAATTTCGCCCTTTTCGGTTTTTTTTGTAGCTTGCTATTTTAAGGAATAAGGCTGAGAGTTCGTGTCGCTACTTATTATCTAAAGACTGTGGTCAATAAAGGTAATTACATGCAAACAAACTTAACAAGGACGCCTAATCCACCTACATTTTCTGGTCATAACTGAAGAAAAGGTTATTCTTTTGTACGGTGTAAAGGATAAAGGACAAAGCTCTCGGCGTTGATCAATCCCTTAGGGATGCGCTATGAATTCGATTTCATTAAGCTTTGCTAGAGGTGATTGACTACATATTTGGACTCGAGTGGGTTACCGATGTATCATGTCAGTGCTGATATCTTACCAGACAAGTTTGGCACCCGCCCCAGGAGGGATGGAAGAGTGGTGAGCCAG